CAGTAGTTCATCCAGACTGAGAAATAGCCGCTGGACCCACGCCATAGCTACCACTAGTGCACAATACCCACAAAATGCCAGATAAAACAGGAGCCCTGGTTTGCCAAGTTCCAGTTCATCACACAGCTCGTCACCATTGATCCATCGGCTGCCCGCTTCAATGAATCCCTTGGAGACCTTGAATGGCCCTGGCAAGTTCGTCACGCATTCCACGAAGTTAAACGCCACCGTTCGCGACGTATCAGTGGTACGGAGCTCGTGCGCGAGGAGGCTTTCCATAGTGCATTTACTCCGCTCCACCGTTTCAAAATACGATGTGGGGGTTCCAAGGAGAAAGCCTAGGTACCGAAAGAGCGCAATATAGTCCTTGACCTCCTCCGGAGTAGGCTGAATGCCGAACTTGGGTAGTTGAAGCCACATAGGGTTGCAACAAAAGGTACTGATTGAGTGGACCGAGTCCAGGGTGTTCACCGGCACTCCAAAGCGTGCCAGATCAAAGTAATCCGGCCTGGCTCGACAGAGTTGAATGATGCGTTGGCGAACAGAGGCATGAAGCAACCTGACCCGAACGCTGGCAATGTGCCCTTCGCCGCCGGGGCGAATTGATGTAATGCAATGGGTGACTTGGATTAGCCACTGAAAGGTCTCAAGCAATCTGCCCAGAAGCATACGGGTGGAGAAGCCTCCTGTTCGCACAAGGACCTCGACAACCCCAGGTGCAGCCTGATGAGCATCATTAGATCCCTCGTCCCTCGCCCATGGTTGTGCAAGAAAGGACATACCGAGTTTTCCGCCACGAACCCTTGCAAAGCGAACCCCACAATATTGGCAATGGCATAGCGATAGAAGAATTGCTGGCCGCGTTGTAGCTGCTCCCAGTCCACCCACTCAGGCACAGTGTTCACTTCGGTCCAGAACTTGGCTAAGATATCGTCATCCCCCCGGTGGTCCCGTAGGAGGACGTAAAGATCACTAGGTGGTGGGCTCGTCCCCTTTGCTTTGCTTTCTTCCATCAGTGTAGCCCTAATTGCTTGTAGCCTCTCCAGCGCGTTAGCCGCAGAGGTATCATACTGCTGGCGCAACGGCTCTAACTCTTCCCTGGACAGATGATCCCTTGTCCAGGAGAAGGAGTAGCCCCAGCTACTGATTCTGTCGCCAGCCTGTGGTTGGGAGGAAGAGGCCATATTGATGAGTTAACGAGCAATGCTTGCCAATATTGACTGAAATGAGGTGTCTGTTAGGCCAATGCCTAGTCATTGATAGTTGGTCCATTGCGCCCTTCACCCGCATTTTATACCGCAATTCAAGATACCAAGCTAGGATTCGACGGACTGTAGAGCTCATAGAGCTGAACGAAAGCAATGGCCACTCCATGTACCGGACCTGCCTTCCGCCAGTGTTACCTGACAAAAGCAATTGGGTCCTGGGCCGCCCCTCACGTTCACCCGTCCTTTTGGGACATGATCTCTAGTGAAAGCTACTAACGATGCATCGTGCTCCGGGCGGATGTTCGAGCCCAGTCCCGTGGCTGCGAGGCGAGACACCTCGTGGGACCCACCGCAGTGCCCCAGCAGAGTGGCCCAATGGTATGATCACGATCAGATGTACTCGTTCCACCATGGCCAGACTGGTGATCAATGGACAGAGCCGGCGAGAAAATCAAGAGCAAAGGAAAAAGCAACAAAATGTACCAGTCTCGAACTTAGAGGCGCTAATCAATGTCTTGGGCCCCGTTGTCATGACTGCCCAATCGTCCTAGCATGCAGGTTAGCCAATCCCCGGGAGAGGTCGCCAAGAATAAGATGGAGAGACCGTGCTAAATCCCGGATACCGGGGAGAGATCCGGCTTCCGGGCCGATCAAAAGTCAAGATCCAGAGGCCGTAAATGGGTGCTCTAGACGTATTCGGGCAGGGATCGTCAAATCCATACCGCGCTTTGGTGGACGACCGATCATTGCTCTTGAGAAGCCTTCAGCTCTGGCGGCGGCGGAGAACACCCAGGCACTAGCTCCTCGGGCTGAGTAGCGCTAGACTTTTGCAGTCCTTAATTGATGTATAACAGACGCCATTATTATTTTTCTGACTTCCGGGTATTGCAGGTTACCAACTGAAACCTTATCCTTTTGTCTGGCGCCATTGAAATTCGAGTACCGGGAAACGAGATCCTGAGGCTGGACGATCCTGTGGGCCCAGGTCGTCACCAAAGCCCGAAGTCTGGGCCTTGTACAGCCAGGTCAGTTGTAGGATCATCCTGGCCATTCGTACGGTTCCAGGCTTGGTGAACTCAGGTCGTAGCATTCGTCTGTATATAAAGTACCATGCACTGGCACATGTCGTGGTGCTGTCCAGATCCACCTCGTTTTCATGTATATAGTGATCGATCCGTTAGATTTCTCTATATTGTGCTCGAACCACCGCAGTTCTAACAGTCGAACATGGCCGTCACAAGAGTCCAGCAGAGTATATCTTCGCCAACAGTCAAGATACCCCGGCAAGATACTTCTCTCACCATCCGCCTCCCTGAAATGTTCGTGTTGTTCTTGTCGGGCGAACCTATAGTAAATCGGCACTATAAGTCTGTGAAAGAGCTGTCAGAAGCATGGATCTCTAGGTGCATATCTCCCCCTAATGTGGGCATCACCTTTCTCTAACCTAGCCACCGCCATGACAGGGAATGCTACTTTGATGAAAGAGGCCGAAGGCGACTACAAAAGACGGACTTCGCTTATTTTTGTTCCATCGCAGCTCCAGATGCTGAGCCCGAGGAGTTGCGGACAGTTATTGACTGGGGAAACTGGGTGCGTTTCATAACCACGACCGACCACATAAACTTCCACTGACTAGATCTAACCATTATTTCCCAAGCAGGTGTTCCCTTTTGATGACCGTAAGCACCATCTCTCTTGGAAGGCTTATGTGTGATGACTGAGCTTCGATTCTAGTCTTCGATAATGGAAGCCTCAAGGACGACCCAGAACGTGCCCAAATACTTGTTGAGGATTTGCGAGCAGGCATGGCCGACGAAGCTGGGCAGAGGCCAGTACTCTCAGATTACCCAATAGTACAGGTGCACAACTCAGTATGGCACCGAATCACTCAGGTACGTTGATCATTATACTGTATTGGGAGTGCATATTGACGTCTGACGGTATTGCAGGCTCAACCTATCGGTATGTAGCGCTGGGATTCCTCCACACGCTTTAGGGTATCTGCTAACGTCGTTTAAGGGATTCGTCGCAGGTTTGCACGTGCCATGAATGACTACTGCACCGGATGCTTGGCTCAAGTACGCTCATGCTCCAAGGGAGAGTTGCCCTCGCTTGAAGAAATGCTCTGTCTGCGTAGGCAGTCTGCAGGTGTTTCGCCGCTCTTTGCCTTAGTAGAGTATGTTATGACGTCTGCTTGCCTGTGAATGACACTAACTTGAGGGATATTGCAGATATGCCCACAAACTAGATATCCCAGATCATGTGTTTGAATGCAAGAGCATCCAAGAGATCGAGAGGATTGGTACTGACCTCGTGTTACTGTAGGCTGCCTCAACACACCCCACCCAACATCTGAATTCACTAACGTATCTTAGGCAAAACGACATACTATCATACTGCAAAGAAGAGGTTAGTTGTCTACATTGAAATACCAGCTCTGACCCGCATGACTCACAAAAGGATACAGAAAGAAGGTGTGAGCCATAACTTAGTGGCCATCTGCCGTCACAATGGCATGCCAGCGCAGGTAGCGTTTAATCATGTAGGCGAAATGCTCATTGAGCGCTACCGAGACTGGTACCTTGCTTTGGCAGCACTGCCAACCTGGGGGGAACGGGTCGATGCAGATGTTCAAGAATACATCCGAGGCGTGCAGAATGTCGTTCGCGCCAATCTTCACTGGAGGTAGGTGTTGACTAGTGATCTTTGTTACCCAAAATACTCACGATGATGCCATAGCTTCCGGTCCGGTCGATACTTTGGGAAAGCAAACGACCAAGTGCGGAAGACCGGAATGGTGACTGTGCGGGGCAACAACGCCGACTTCAAGCTGTCTATGGCGTAGACAGTAGCCTTTCCTTGATTGAACCTAAATTTGCAAGGTGTTTGCGCGTTTTCTGGTGACCATGCCTTTATTCCCAGGTTATTCAATGGCGTTCTGTCTCTGTTGCGGGTGACTGATTTTCAGCGTGGGTATCCAATCTGGACATGGTAATAGTTTGTTTTGCAGTTAGTATAGCGCTGGTGATAGTCGGCCATTAATGAAGAATTATGAATGAACTATAACTTGATATAGACGTATTGTAGCAAACAACTACAGTATTCCATGCGTTGCTGTGAAGAGAGGGAAGAAGTGCTGGAGGTTGCACGGTGCTTGTCACGTTGTCAGCGGGTTTACCTGATTGGGCAAGGGGGCACAACATGAACAACAACATACTACTAAGTACTACTACTCCAGTACTAGCTAGCTTCTTGTGCCTAGCGAGTATTTTTGCTACACTTTAAATCCCCAGATGATGTTGTCGTTTGCCTTTTAGAAGGAGGTATATAAGCTTTGAATACATTACTTAGGCTATGCCTGACATCATCGGAAAATGAAATGGGAGACAATGCAGTATGCGACCTTCGGTTAGATTCCATACTATATGTCCAAAGCTTCAGTCCCAGAAATATATTGGATATGTCTTTAACCCCATGGTATTGGCTACTGGCTTGCTGCTAACGACGTAACGTATACTCTTGACGATTCTACAGCATCTGTTTCGATGATCGTGGACAACCTCGAGCACTTCGCTAGTTTTGCTTGGCGCCCGGGACACGCAGTATACTGGCTATCCCTCTTGTTTCTATATTTACGGATATTAAACCCACAATCAAAGTCATGATGCTGGGTAATGATGAAGAGGATGGGCTCTGAATTTCCCAGTCTGTCCCCAGTGTCCTTGATGACCTCGAGCTCCTTCCGCCATGTCTCATACAAGCACTACCTTAAAGCCAAATATCGTAGCATCATCACACCCTGAGCCTCTGCTGATCATGCAATTGCCGGAGAAGCGACCCCGATCTTTCCAAAAGCTCACTAGGTGTGCCATATTCAACCATCTTTCCTCCATCAATGACAGCAATCTGATCGTAATCCAGAAGGGTAGAAACCCTATGCGCAACTGTAATAATAGTGCAGCCTGCAAACTCAGTGCGAATTATATCTTGCATCAGGGAATCTGTCTCGTTATCCACACGGCTAGTGGCCTCATCCAGAAGCAAGATTTTTCTTTTCTTGACAATAGCTCGAGCCAGGCAAATGAGCTGTCGCTGGCCTGCTGATAGGGGGAGATGATCGATTTTAGCATCGAGACCACCAGAGCTCTGGACATGTTCGTACAGTTGTACTTTTTGTAGTGCATTGAGGACAATCTCATCGTCCATGAGGCTGAACCCAGCGATATTATCACGGATAGTGCCCCGGAATAAGACAGGCTCTTGAGGTATCACTGTAACATGATCGCGGACGATGTCACGAGGGCATGATTGTAAACTCACGGCATCAATGTTAATGTCACCACTTTGTATTTCAACCATGCGAAGAATGGCAAGAAGTAGAGAGCTTTTCCCACTTCCAGAGCGCCCGCATACCCCTAGCTTGGAACCAGCAGGGATGGCCAGGGTTATTTGTTGAAGAACAGGGGGAGAGTTCAGATCATAGCCTATGCTGACATTTTGGAAAGCTATATGGCCCTCTGATGGCCAATCTGTACGAGGAACTACTTCCTCTCCAGGAAGATCCTCTGAGGGAACCTTTTGAAAATTGCGGATGCGTGTAACTGCACCAATACTGGTCTCCATGGATGTCCAGAAATTGATCAATTCCGACAGCTGCTGACTGAACGTGATTAGAGAGACAAGCGAAACACCTATTGGCCCAGTTCCGCGCACAAAAACTGATAGTATCACTAGCAAGATTGCAATGCCAGCAACAGACAGATCTAGAACAAGAATAAGCCACCGCTGTATGACAAACAGCATATAGTAGGGCCGCTGCGATCTTTGGAGCAGTTCCTGGTGCTCTTCACGGAAGCTGTCTTGCCAGCCAAACGCGCGAATAGTGACAAGCCCATTTATGGTCTCGGTAAATTGGGTGTACAGTGGTGACTTGCTCTCGAGGTCCAGATGACGAAGTTGTCGTGATGTTCGGAGGTAGAACTTCTGAATTGAGTAAACAACAATTACTGATAAGGGGATCAGGGGAGCCATATATTTGGCACCAACACAGATAAATATGGCGCTCATCAAGCATTGTGTAAAATTTTTCGATGTTTTAAGGAAGTCAGCCGGAAGTGATCGGTCAATTAGAGTCATGTCCTGACTGAAGTGATTTAAAGTGATACCGCTGTCAGTGCCGGTGAGCCAGTACAAAGGAGCCTTATCGATCTTCATCACCAGATAATCATGGAGCCTGTTGGAAGACGTGGGGACAATGCGGCAGAAGACGAGCCACATGCACCATGCCCATAGGGCAGCTCCTAGAGCAGCCAGAAGAGCATAGACGCTGATATAGAGGGCTAGCCTTCCGAACGGCGTCCGGGCATTTTCTTCTCCCCACCATTGGACCCAAAGATCTTCGCTCCTCTTATTAATGAAAGTCGACCATGAAGGGAGGTAGACTTACTGGGAAATTGAGAGCAGAACACACCTATCACTAAGGATACGAAGTAGATCAATACCTGCCAAGGGCCGGCTGCTCGGAGGTAGTATGCATATATGCTCAGGTCGCCTATCTTCCCGTTCATCTCGTCAGCATTCGAAGAGGCAATGCCTGCAGCCGCCTGGCTACCCGGCAATGCTACTTGGCGCTCCCCGATTGAGCGTGAAGTGGCTGCTGATTCACCCGATAAATTCCGTGGCTGAAGCAATTGAGGATGGCCTTGTTCCGTGATCACTCCGTTTTGGAGCAAGACAGCATTGTCGGCAAAGGCGAGAAGTTTCTGGTCATGCGTTGCTAATATAGCAGCAACTCTATGGCGGCGCAAGATGCCCTGTGCCCCGAAAACGCGTTGGAAAACTTGCTCTGAAGTTTTCGCATCCAGAGAACTTAGAACGTCATCGAAAAGAGCTAATTGTTTGCGTGCATAGATGGCACGGGCAATAGCAATGCGTTGTCTTTGTCCGCCACTAGTTGCCATACCATTACTACCAATGATTGTGTGATCTTTGTGGGGAAAGCTTTCAATGTCTTGGTCGAGCGCAGTCGAATAAAGCACAGTTCGGTACCATTGCTCATCAAAAGGCAAGGGTTGGCAGATGTTCTCACGGATGGATCTGTTGCGAATCCAAGCCCTGCTACTACAGAAAGATATTTCGCAAACGTTGCTGTAAATGAAGCCCTTCAAGCAGGGAACCTCACCCAGAATTCCTTGAAGCAGAGTGCTCTTGCCTGATCCAACGGCCCCGGTAACCATGGTAAGCGAAGAAGGGGGGCATCTAAGATCGATGCTCCGCAATGTAGCTGGCGAACTGCGATCCCAACCAAAATCAGCCTGGTGAATTTGCAGCAAGTCCGACTTGGCTGCCACAGAACGATGCCCAATGCCTATATCCGATGGCTTTGGCTGCTGAAGCTCAATGGGCCCCACCCCCTCGGTGTCCATGTCAGTCCAATTTGTATGCGGGGAGACATGCCGATGACTCGGGGGCATAACTCGATCATCGAGTCTGGGGCTTGCTAGCAAGTAAGCTTGGATCCTTTGAAAGCATTCCAGCGCCGCACTAGCTTTCGGGCCCGAATAGATCAGGTTTGACAGAGGGCCGCTCAATAGAGAGATTATCGAAAGGGATGTGAATGTCTCAGCCACTGTCAATGGTCTTTTTCCGGTATGGAGTGCAACACCGGTGAAAAGACTGAGTGTGAGAACCGGGCTGAGATTGGTTGTTGTGCCCGCTGAAAACACCGTAAGTCTCGACACAATATATCCTCGCTCAAACTGAACTTACCGAGCAAATTCATCTTCACCATCAGATGGCGAAATTTTGACTGTCGATTCAGCTCGTCAATACGCAGTTGATGTAGCATTCTAGAAAAATGCTTTTGGAGGCCAAGCATCTTGATAGTTACACTCGCATCGAGGTAACTCGAAGCAAACGCAACTCTGTCACGAACAGCCTGCATCCAAATCTTTTGCCTCCCCGGTGCAGACTTCGACAACAAATGGGTGGAATAGAAGACCGCAACAGAAAGGGCTGCCGGGACTGTAGCAGCCCAAGCTACCTGACGCTGTAACAAGTATAGCGCAATGCCCACCTCTATGGGACTCGCCCAGACTTCATGCACATTCTGGATCCCCGATGCAATGTTGTCGATGTCATTGCTCATTAAAGTCAGCGCTGCCGAGTCACTATACTCATCGTACTTTAGCTCAAGCGTCTTATCATAGATGACAGATACCAGAGCGCCGCGTATCTGCGTTATAAGACGAAATATATAGTGCTCATAAAAGCAATTCATGACCTACATGAAATTGATCAGGATAAAATATTTAAAGGAGCGGGCTAGATAGCATACACCTTTCAGAATGAAGACCAGTGCAAACGCACCAATCAGGCCATAGCCATCATTTTTACTAGGAGTTTCCTGGCCAACGTAAATGGTTAATCTGGTTATCAAGAAAGGTTGCGTATAATCCAAACCAATCCTCATCAACCTCGACAAGAAGGAGTAAAAGACTGGGGCTCTGAATGCACGGACAGCGCAATAGGCTAACGCGTTCTCATAAGTTTTTGGCACTGAAACTAGTCAGCAGACAGTGAAAATGCTATCTGGCTGCTACTTACTTGAAGCCCAGTGAGCGGAAAGCTTTCGATGTAATTCGTTTGCAGACAGAGCCCGATCAAGGTACGGTAATTCCTCGAGGGACACTGACTGCTTGAACCCGAGCAAGAGCAAAGGATTAACCCACCAGAAGAAGGCGCGATTATAAAAGCCTCTGATTTCCTCGTCGCCATATTGCACGTTTTTGTTGATGAAATATACCAGTTTCGACTTCGTCTCTAAATAGAACCAGACCAATTTGACCGCAATGCTTGCTGTATAGAGAGTTGCAAGGACGGTATATGAGGCCAGCCATAAGCTCCTTGCACGTACGGCATCAAAGACAATTGTCCATGATAGGAACAGGTTCAGAATGGAAGAGGGCTGCACAGAATATATGTGTTCCAAATGGGACAAGAACAGCAGGCCAACAGATGTAATTAAGGTCAGAACCGCAGCAACCAGGGATGCCTGTGTCCGTGGCGTGTGAGGGAGGAGCCATAAAACTAGAAGACAAAGCTGGAATGCACCGAAAACTTGTGCTGAAACCTAGTAGATAGCGGTGCGTGAGTTAGCTCGCGACAGTTCAGTCCTTGACAAGACGCACGTACCAGCTTAGCCCAGTATGCCCAGCTTTGAGAGACGATGACTGTCCGATGTTTCCATAGCTGCTTGTAGCGCAAGGGAAGTACAAGCAGAAGTAATGCCGAGGGAGCGATCGAAAAGAAGCACTCTTCAAAAAGCAGGGTGAAGTCGAAGTCCCCTCGACAGTGGACCACTCGTGGACCGAATTCATCGTCTCCGCAAACATGAATGTTTTCCATCCTCGTGGATTATCCTCGATACGCAGATTAATGACGAGGGAATGCTAAATGGCAATGGGACCCGGAATGTACAGTAGAAAGGTGAGGTTGGCGAGGGAGTGCTGAGGTGGAGTGAGGCTGAGTGTCAGGTGAAATCGAAGCAGTACCTTTTAAGGAGCTAATCTCGCTGGCCCTCTTTAATCTTGGACGGTGTTGTAAATCCAGCAATTAGATGGCAGCGATAAGGTGACTGGGTGGAAAGACCCCTGTCGCAAGTCTACTTAGTTCTCTCCAATAACCCACAGCGCGGAGAGAATCTGGGTTCTAGACTGATTTTAGCCTCTTCCTTTCCCCATTCATGTCTGCCTGGTACTCTCCCTGCGAGGCTGCTACGCACCATTAAGCTTTACCGTCCTTTACTGGGGCCGCCTTATAAGTCTCGCGGCCGTCGGGGCTCCGTGCAGTCATGATAGCATATTACCATCGAGTTAGACAGTCTCGTTCACATTATACACCAACTTGCACCCCTTGACCTTACCTTCTCTCAAGAAATTCAGTCCCTCAATGACACCCTGCAAGCCACCAGACCCAAGCTGCACAGGATGAGGGACAACCTTGCCATCCGCCAACAACTTGGCCGCCTTTTCGATCCACTCTGCCGCAAAAGCCCGATCTTCTGGTTTTGCAGGGATATGCACACCCCGAAACATCAACTCCTCTCCGAATACCGTATAACCCAGCGTCCAGCGGCTGCGCACATCCACACGAGGCACCTTGCTGTCTATCATCGCAGTATAATCACCGCCCTGGGAGCTCATAGCCCGTCCGCAAAATGCCGCCGTCTCTTCTGTCGAGATGGTATCCAGCACCAACTTCAGCCGATCCTGCGTAACCTCGCGGATCTTGTCAGCCGCCCCAGGATCCTTGTAGTCAAACACATGGTCGGCACCACGGCTCTTCACTAGCTCCTCGGTCTCAGGCGAACACGTCGTGATCACCTCGTACCCGGACAGCTTGGCAAATTGAATTGCCAGAGTTCCTGTGGCCGTAGCACCGCCATAGACGAGGATGGGTTCCGGCTGGGCAAGGGGATGATCGAATGATGCGAGCTGCAGGCTTTGGTACAGAGATTGAGCAATGGTGCCCAGGCCGACTCCTAGGGTTGCAGCTTCCTGGAAGCTGAGATTCTCCGGTATGGCGGATTGCAGGTCACCTAGAGCGAGGACGTACTCTGAGAATGCTCCATTGTAGGGGAGGTTGGGGTTGCAGCCGCGGATGAGGCCAAAGACACGATCACCGACCCGGAAAGGTTTCGTGACTGCAGAGCCGACAGCTTCTACAATGCCGGCGTAGTCACAGCCAACAGTAACGACGGGAGTGCTTCGAAGGGCATTCTTCCAGTCCGTGGGATTAAGCCCGACGCTCACCACTTTGACGAGGATGCAGTCATCACGAAGGGTAGGTTTGGGCCAGTCGCTCACCACGGAGATAGTCTCGGGAGCAGTGACGGCAATAGCTTTGACCATGATGATGATGTTCCGGGTGACTAATGCACCGAGGCGGAGAAAATTATAGAATAGTTGAGGATTTTAAAGGTACTATAGAGCATGAGCAGACGATAGAGTCTTATGTATGTAGCTGTTGGAAGGGAAAGAGGAGAATGCTTGACTTCTTTGAACTGATCGTCCGGCGACTAGTGAGGAGCTGAAATGCAGCCTCCGGAGCCTCCGGAGTGAGCTGCCAATTTCTAAGCAATCGATATACTTGCTTCTTCCCCGGTCGGCATGTAGACATCGTCGTCCAGGTCATCGCGTCTCGGCGTTTCTCTAAGAGTTTCTTAAATTCGGAGCAGCATCCCACATACCAGCGTAAATCAAGAGTTGTACTAGGTTGTGGGTAGGCATCTGACTGGAAATAAATATCATCTGACATTTTGACAGTATCCAAGAGCCTTATCACATTGGAGCGATCAGTATTACGAACTATCAAGTACATATGACTAAAAAACATAATTAGAATTACACACAAAACTCCTTTCCACCCGATTATAATTATCCCCGGCCATGATTCCCGGCCAAGTACAGCCAGGACTCCTTTTTTTCTCTGAATTAGTAATGAGTTTGATGAAGATTGTTAAGTCGGTTTCATCAGCCAGAATCAGCGCCTTGTGTCCAATTGCATCTGATTCATAATTGGCCCAGTTGCGCTTCGTCATTCATTCCATTCCATTCCTGAGAGTGACATTCACATCGAACAACGTAATCCCAGCCGAGGCGGAGAAGCGGATATGAACCACTCTTTAAACTTGGGCCATGCTGGGGCGAGTAACGCCGCGGGCAGGACCGGTGCGTCCACGAAGGTTGACACTTGTCTGGCGTGACATGATGATCGACAGAATCATCGAGGCAGTGTAGCCAGCCCAGGCAAACCACAGGAATGCCGTCGAGGCCTGAGCCTCGCGGCAACGCTTCGTGCGGTTATGGGCTCCATTGGTGATTTCGTTGTTCAGCGTGTAGGACTAGGGTAAGTATCCACAAGTCAGCGTTGCCCTGACATTATTTTACGGTGGTGCATCATCTTTTTTGGAGTTCGCGGGACGAAAACTCCACTCTCCACTTTTTTTAGTGGATAGCTTCCCCGACTGATAAGGCAGAAAATCATGCACTATACGTACATCGTTGCTGCAGCTGTGGCATTCCAATTTCGCAGCCAGGGCGATACCAGCCGTAAGGAACAAGATCGCATTGAGCGTGTCGATGGCGATCAAGAAGATTGGGTGAATAGCCCAGTCAATATTGATTGACGCTGGGACTAGATAGAAGAGTGTGAACATCGAGAAGGCTGCAACAAACATGGTGTAGTTGATGGTCGCCGGGTTCCCGGCGAACGCTTCGGCGATCATGTTACCGATCAAAGCCATGATGAGCAGAGTCCAGATGAACTGATGCCATCTTCCGCGTTAGTCCAGAATTCCCAGCTGCTTCACTTGCTTGCTTTGCAGGCCCAGCCAGAGCAAGGCTCTCGGCTCGAGACAGAATGACATACCTCCCAAATCCGTAGGCCGAGCTGGATAGCTTTGGCAACCATCTTGGTGGTGTGATATGAATGAGTGATGAGTGGTGGTGGTGAATGAGAGTTGTTGACGATGGGGTGCGTGTCTGGTGGGCTGTGCTTCTTGTAGATTGTCGATCTGTTTCAGTAGATCCGGCACCGGGAAATTAATGAATCGGGACGAGGGCCAGTAGTTAGTAGTTTAGACGGAGTTTGATAATTATAAGAAACATCATCTCAGTGCGGGATGATCGGGCAACACGAACGATGACGATATGCGCCGGTTCAGGGATCTGCTACGTCATGCGCCGGCCCGACTCATGAAATCACCACCACTGCTGCACCCTGGGGATTTCCACCACAGATCGTCAAGCAGGTGGAATAGAGCCAGAGAGCGGTCTAGGTGGTTTGTCATTCAGCACTGACTCGTAGTTCCATTATGAACCCAAAGATGCCCAGCCTGGCGCCGTTGGGCGCTTTTGCAGTCTGCTCCAAGCATTGCCCATTCATACTGAAGAAAATCCTACAACCCTTTTTTCCCTCCCTCGAGGCGATCGACCGCTTCGATCGATAGACACATAGAGAACGCCGCTCTACAATCATCGCTTCCGAGGTCATCCGAGCATGAAACATTGATGCCGTCACCTATGGGCGGAGTCAAGCTGCACTAGTCAAGCTTGTGATAGGGATGCGAGCCTCCATTAAGCTCTCCAACCAGTGGGTCTGCAAACTTTAAACGTTGTAGCTGAAAGAGCTTCTCACTTTTCGCTGGCCAAGCATGATGCCCGACCATACTAGAGCTTGCTGGATTTCAATGAACCACACATGCAGCAAACAGGAGCCGACAGATCCTTGACCGGATGATCTGCTTTGTGCCGCAAGTGTAATTGTTCACTCTCTTCCAGCGGCCATGAGAGGATCCCGCCCACACACTCACAAGCCCAACCTACGCCTCGGTTAGGTAAGGCTGTTTAAATAAATAAACTAATAAATAAATAAATAAATAAATAAATAAATAAGAACCAGAAGTTTTCAGCAGTCACAATCACGGGGAAGGTGAGAGTAAGAAAAGCAAATGTTTCCATATCTACCTTCCTATGACGGATAGCCCCGTCGACTTTGCGTCGGTGGTACGACCCCCATAACCAGTCATCCCGAAGGCCCAGCCCAATCTAATATCCATCTGTGGGTGTTCCAAACTCGATCATTGGGAATGCGTGCCGAATTACCTGGCCACCTGTACAAGGCTTCTTGTGTCTTGAAAACTCAATTGGCGCCAATGTGTATGCAGGAGATGCGCCGGCACTTAATATTCCCAGCATATCGGCAGCGGTTGACGCAGATTGTTCGCTAGATGGTCGATCAATGCCATCGACGGGGTAATGCTAGCTCGTAATATACCCCAGTGAGAAGCCATAAGGACGATCAACTTAAGCAATAATCGACAGGCTTGGCAAACAAGTGCCGAAAGATCTATATGCCCACCTTCCCTTCTCTGTGAGACTAGCATGCCACGGACCCCGGGCTGCTAGCCAATCTCGGGATGATTGAAAGCATCTGGAGGCAATATTCGTGTAGCGGATAACACTACCGATTATACGTTGTCTATCTTCCGTTCCGCCTCCTCTTCTGTGCTGTTGTGTTCAAGATCCACGCTTCCAAACTTCCAGGAGGTGTCCTGGACGTAGATGTCTTATCCTCTTTGGACATTGAACAGGAAGCATGACTTGTAAATCTGATACTCCAAGATACCTAACAAATGATGATCAGCTTGTCGATAACGAGATCTCGAGCTGGACTTCAACACGAAGGACAGATTAGCACACCATCATTCAATGTCGTGTAATCAATGCATACAACAAATACAATGATAAAAAAAACAGTATCTTTCACCGACATCCTGTGGACTTTGAATGCAACACAACTTATGCACCCTCCACCCTTAGAAGTAAGAAAGTAATTCACTAAGCAGATGAATATAGCCAGCTGCGCTGGTCACCTTCAACTAGACGTATCCATGCGTTTCTTAGGAAAGGGGCAATCTTCGATTGGGGAAATTGCAACATCTCCGAGAGAATCGAATGTGAACAACGAGAATCCCGCTCACCCTTTGTCTTCCCCGTTCAGGGATTATCAAGCATTACGCATAAGAGTTCTTCAGACACAGATGAATAGATACTAGCCAAAAGTCCAGAGCCTTAGTAGGTACGTAGTCCATGTCTACATATGCACATATACCACTGCATCACCACGACACACTTGAAGAACGGCATCATCATCAATCATACAATTGTGTTTCACAGAGCAATCACTACTAGTATACCACTGAATTGATTTACCACCACCCATTCCAACACCATGCACGGGAACCGAAAGAGAAGGCAATACAACCTCAGCTACCTTAGGCTTGCTTAAACTCAATTCATTCATTGAGCCTAGGCTCAAAGCTGCCAATTGCCGAATCGTCCATCCCGCCTTACGACTCAATTCGCCACTGATAGTTGTACTGTAGTCTCGGTGGATCCACAACTTCTCGAAAGCATGGAAATTCACACCCAATGTTTGGACTGAATGGAAGAGCCAACGGTAAACTCGGCAAGCAAACACAGTAACATCACTTCAAGAAGATTAGAACAAACAAGCCGAAGGGAGGGGTGTTCCGTCTCGCTTGTGTCGTGATGTCATCGCTGTCCAACTCGGAAGGGAATCCCGGCAAAGCAAGTTGAACAAAAGGAGAGGCACCGGGAAGAGGTGGCAGGCAGCTACTAACTTATACGGTGTATATCTACAAGGACAAATTACATATATAAAGGGCCGTGGTGACCAATTCCTGTATTGAATTATACTGCATGATTTGTGATTAAGGTTTAAATTGAGGCCAGCGACCAATTCTCGTGCCACGGCGATTGTTTTATTCTCAGAAAATACTAGCCATCATCCTTCTACCTGACATTTCGTCCCGCATCCACATCCATAAGTATTCGATTTGATCATTATGCCAGTTGTTCCTGCGCTGAAAGATACCCCGTTCGACACCGATATTCGTGACCGTCATTTAATATACGATTACGCCGCGCAGGACGCCCAAGGAAACCCCGAAAAATGGCGCTATGAAATGTGGTTTTATAACGAGGACCGCATCGTCTACGCCATCCATGGCGGGCCCATGGCCGGCCGGAAGAACTTTCAAACGGCCACGTACCAGTGCATTCGACCGGGCGAACTCTGGCAGTGCAATTGGCTTGAGGAGACCGGCACCATATGCTCGTTGGTGTATGACATTCCACGAAAGCGCATCACCACGTTGCTGGGGTTCTCCAAGGGGCATTGGGAAGAAAGTGAGGCGGCCCACGGCGACAAGAGGAATGCGAAGGATTTGGAAAGATGGAGGGGATTGGCCACGATTGGCAAGCAAACGGACAGGAAGCTCCTGAGCGAACAAGCCGACATCCTCGAGGATTTCCGAGGCCCGGGCGATTTGGAGCCAATTGACATGGAATGGCCGACATTATAAGCGAGGCAGGTTCGCGGGGACGTACGCACCGCAAGAGGGGTATGCGGTTGAGGATCGATTATAGGAGAAATGGGGGGCTTTAGAGTGGTGGTTATTTGGAATGGCATTCTAATCTGTACTTAGTTCGCAAATTTCCGGTATACCCCTTGTGACCTTGACGTGTCACTAGCAAACATGCAATGCTTGTCTGGTTCATGTCTTCTTTCCATGTAGGATGTAGATGGGTGACCCATTTATGTGCATCTGAATTGTGCCACCGGATTTGACGAAGGGAGAGAGGCCGGTCCGATCATGGAAGACACCAAGTAACGGAAGCCAGCCGAGTCATCATCCGTAACCGTAGGCCTTTCCCTCAGATGCCATTGCAGCGCCATATATCACAGCAGCTGACCTCTCAACGACTGACGGGATAGTTTGCGTCTGTCGCAGTATCATGTCACCAACTCTTCGGGTTGCTTTGGGTCTTCTTGTAGAAGTGCACCACAGAGCTGTTCATCATATAAGGTCGTGTAGGAATAAGTACCCTGTTGGTCGTCGAAGTCAACTCAGGCTAGGCACATCTCATGGCGAGATAGCTCGCCAATCGGGAGCTGTGTCTAAGTGCACCTAGCTGAGTCCGTGGGTGATCTCCAAGACTGTGATGGATATACACATTGCGTTGATTCATGTCGATTGTTCTCCCAAAAATATGGGGTCAACCGTAGGTCACGAGCCTTGGCTTGACGAAGAGCTTCCTGTAGATGGAGCCTGAGTACAAACGAGCTCTACTTGTATATCATCGACATATTTGGGAGGGTTGCCGTTGTAGGATGGAGCTCTGCTAATAATGGCGACTGCAACTTGAGCTGCTTGGTCATTAGCAGTCATATTATCAATGAACCATGTCTTCCAGGGTTCACTGCTGGATCCGGACGTTTGGAGGGTTGCAATTCGGGTGGTATCGGTTTCTTGAGCAAAAGCTGTATTTAGTCAGTAAGGACTGCAAACAGAAGGCAGAACAAACAGCGGAGCCAACATACAGATAGAAGGTATGGCAGCAACGTCGAACAGAGGCGGAGGGCAATTGGAGAGTACGGGCTGGTTGATGAGCATTTCACTCAACACCGTATCCAGTGGGTCATCATAGTAACTTCCACTCGTGGTGAGTCCATACAAGGCCTGCTTCAACAAGGTGATCAAGTCGTACGAGCATTGTGCGCCCCACACGCCATCGCAGCCATTGTTGGAACCTGACGGCGTTCCGGTAAGATTTCCCACCCGCAAAGCAATCTCAGAGGTGCGGTTGGAATTGATGACAGAGCTATTGAGAAGAGCACTGTATCCGAGCCAAAAGCTAACTTTAGTCATGGGCTCTTGGCCTTTTCCTCGAGAGTTGGCGTCGAATCCATAGTAGAGGTTGAGACTCTCCTCAAACAGAGGGGGGAAGTTGAAGGAGACGGCAGTCTGAGCCAGGGCATCGAGACAGCTACCGCTCCAAAATGAGCAGAACTGAGCGATTGCTGGCGATCCAATGACAAGTAATAGAACGAAGGCATTTAAATAAGATCGGAGGATTGCCCCCATTCCAATAGGGCCGGCCATTTGGTACCACGAACGGTCGGAAATCGTGCTGAGAAGAGAGACCGATCTGCTTCACAGACACTATAATGATGTAATGGGAGCCGTTGAGCGGACGAAGACCATGCTCATAACCGTCAATCGGTGTAAATCAAGGTCAACTAAGAGGCGGTGGGATAGGTGGTGGCTTAAGAAAAGGTCAAAGTCGGGAGGCGGTCGCCTGAATCATGCCAGAACTGGACTTGCTATAAACACATAAAAGGCGCGGAACACGACGGGTTCGCAAAGTCCAAAGGTGTCGGGTGATGTTCTCAAGGGTTCATAACAAAAGTTCAATTCGTCTGTTTGCCTGTGATGGACAGTAGATATGTGTAGATTTATTCGCGTCCGCAGCCGCGACGATCGGGAGCAGGAGTCGCGACAGACAGGGCGGCAGGCTGACAGCTTATCGGTCGAAGGAGAACTTCGTTCAGAATCGAAGGATGCTGAAGGTTATCAAGTCAAGGCTGGAAGAACAGACCGGGTCGTTGGGGGTTCCGGCGGTTGATAGACGAGCAAATTGCCCCCAGGCGCCAGGGTCTCTGTTTGAAGATGATGGGGAGAGGGGTGATGGTAGTGGTAGTGGTGGTGGGAGGTGATGAGCGACGGTCAATGATGGGTGCGGACGGAGCAACAGGGGCCGATGATCGGTTGCGGAGAAGGGAATCAAGAAGAGGTATTTAGCCAGAGATGAGAGACAGGAGGGAAGAGAAAGAGGGGGTAAGCATAAGGTAATCAGGGTGTGATACCCAGTGTGGTAGTAAAGTAGTGAGGGTGTGAGTTAGTAGTCATTAAGAATTGGAGGTTAAGTCAGAAGGAGTAGTAGTAAGTAGTAGTAGGATGATGCCCTGCTGCTCAATCCTGGACAGATTATTCTTTTCTTGCCAGGGCGAGTTGGACTGTCTTGCCCGTGAAACAAGGCGTGTGGATACGCATGGGGATTGGCCCAAGGTGCCTGGCTTTCGGTGACTCCCTGACTTCCCAGAATCCTCGAGGCATTCTTGGCGCTGCCCGGTCACCGACGCTAACTGGCAGTCCCCGCATACCTTGTGCCGAATGCAGTAATTCCGGAGGGTAATCCCGCCCAGGGTCGCAGCAGGGAGCCAGTCACAGGGCCCATTCACCACATATTTCGGGACTGGCGCCGCTCCTCGTCTCTCTTCAGGGGCCAATAGACTCGCTTATGTTCCAGCCACCATCGTAACTAGGAGGTTAGGTGGTATTTTTCTCTTCCCACATCCGGTGACAGCCAGAAAACGCCGTCTTTACTTACTTACTTACTGCTCACAACTACTGTGTACTAACTCAAGTAACTAACAATCTAGCTGTGCGCCTGGTGAGATTTTCACCCTGACTCAGGGTCCAAGGTTGTCTCCTGGTAACTAGCTAACCAACTAGTTAGTAGTCTGTAGTGCTGACTAGAATATGAGCAGCGTCGAGGTGGTGGAGCTCAGAGACATGGCAACTAGTACTGCTCCCAGTACTGTGTCCGGTCGGTATCTCGTATCTCAGGTAATATTGTGGTAGTTCATACCAAGCCCCGTATTGGAACCAGTGTTTGAAGTTACTGATTATTTATTTATTTTTTTTTTTTTTTTTTTTTTTGTTATTTTTTTTTTTTTTTTTTTTTTTTTTTTTTTTTTTTCGGGAAACACCATGATCTTCCGGTTTCAGGGTCTGGTCACTCAATCCGATTCTGGGATTATTACTTATCTAATATCTACCTGACTAGAGTGGCCGGTAGCGGGTCCTTCAAATCACTACTAACTGGTGATAAATTGCACTTTCTTTTTTTGGTACAGTAACTATCACGCTTTGGGCTTTTTCCACCATCATCCGGACCCTCCGGTGACATGAGAATGCTTCAAGTCCTGCCTTTCGAATCATTCGGAGCTCCTTCCGAACACATATGCTCGATGATTTGTCCATCTCCATTTCCCACTTTTCGAGGAGGCAGTCAAGGGTCAATACACTGGTCTTACTCTTACCAGTTACCACCCCAAAAATCAATCCCCCTATGAGCGCAACAGTAGAAGCGGATAAGGTCTGCTTGCAGGGGGACATTGGAGGACCGGCACATTTAATCTACACTTTACAGTGGACAACTTATGAATTATTGACACTTCGGTCAAATTGTCCACTAACCCAAATTGGGCCTGTCGCCCGTGATTGTAACTTTTCCGGGCTTGTTTTCATTGATCCCTCGTGTCCTGCGGTAAATGTCGAACAAGCTTTTTTTTCGTTTATCTGATATTATCTAGTTTATGGGAGACTCCTGAACTCTGCTGAGCTGTTGACTCGACTACACTAGCAGTTATGGAGGACTACCAGCATGCATTCAGGTCTCACGACTCTTTCGGCCTCGGACCCGCCTACTCAGTTCGTACAAAACGGTTTCCGAAACTAGCAGACTACGGAGTAGATGCTCTCACTTCTGATACCTAGAAACTCCCATCAAACCACTCACTCTTCATAACAAGCTGCGGCAGACCGGTCTACCCAAGTGCGGTGAATCTGCTGGATTCTGAGCAGACAGTAGTTACTATATGCCAACCGCACGTGGCAACGTATCGGCATGTTGACTTTTACTTCGTCCACTACTAGTGTAGTATTGCTTTTGTCAATCAATGCGCCCAGTCTCGGGGGTTTTCTGCTGCATAACGCGTTAAGATGAACACCTACTCGAACAAGGATGGCTCAGAATGGAGTGAAATCAATGATACAGCCCAAAGTTCAGGCCATGTCTGCAGGGTCTTGTTGTAACGAGACACGGACTCAACCACGGTTAAATGTCGGATGTCTGAGCACCCTTGACTTCGTTGTGCTTTAGGTCAAGCGCGATGGTTGCCGGAGGAGTCATTTTGTAGCACGCCGTTGGTAGGGGGAGGCCCAGATATCGCACCAATGGTATTGGGGGATGCGACATAGGTCAGTTAGTAGCACTATCGGAATAAATGAAGTGAGGTTATTAAGTGTCCATACAGCTAGCCAGCAAGCAAAGTAAGCCCGAGGCTAACTATAACCTATCATGGCTTTCCCAAATTCTAGGCATAATCATAAAATGCCAACACGCGGTAGATCTACCTTTTGATCTACAGGATAGTCGAGCGTGGCTGGTGATCCTGCCAAAGCTACTGTAGCGATGAGTGCGATGTTAGATGCCAACTACAAGAAGGCAGGCAAGTCAAATTACAAAATCTCAAGCAATATGCTACTAAAATGTCAATCGTTTACCCTACTAGATAGATGAGACGTTCTCTGGAACGGTCGACCGTTTCCATCGCAAAAGCTCAAGAGGGGTTTGTTGATTTGTCGGAGAACCGTTAGTTAGCCTGACCGATACGATTAGCGTGGTCCCTCGGAGAGATCCACCCTCCCTTCAGTAACAGCACTACTAGTGGTCCCTGATACACTCAACTCAACTCACAGGCACACCACACTAGTAAGAGCCATCTAGTACTAAACTAACAGTACTAAAGTAGCCAGTCCCAGCTTAGCGTCTTAGCCAGCAGTCCCTGCTTTTCTTTCCCTCCCCCCTGCTGCGATGGAGTTACTTATGGACCGACAAGAATCGTTCCATCCAATGGTTAACTAGACAGAAGTTGACAATTCCCAGGGTTGCACTTTTAGTGTTATTTTCGACCTAGGTAGCTAAAGAAACAAGCGCCACTAGTGGCCGCTATGAAGGTTTCGAGCAATGGGCACTGCTCTTTTCAATGGGACCTCCGAAATTATTTCGTTTGGGTTTGCTGCTTCTCTGCTCAAGACCCCCCACCTCTCTCCGTTTGCTCTCTCTTTTTCTTCATAACCCATCGCGTGCTGTTGTTGGATCGGCTATTGCCGTCGTTGCCACCGGTGGGTGGGATTTGGTTTTGGGTTCGCTTTCGCTTGCAGAAAAAGTCTCTGTTTGTATGCATGCATGCATGTGTGTAGGTATTGCACAAGTATTGTACGTAGCGATCGATCGCATACCATTCATTCATTCTTTCTTTCTTTCTTTGTCTCTTTTCTTCTTCAATCACTTGGTACACACTCACACGCCTGTAACATACAGGCGTGTGATATGTCCACTTCTCACTACTTCAGTATGAATTGGTCAGACACTGCTTATCTCGCTGCAAGTGGACAGGCAGTGAAATTAGAGCAGGGAACAAAAAAGACTACCAAGGTAAATCCGATTCCAAGCATTCCGGTCTCCCCATAAGAGCTTGAGATGGGTCTCTGTCTTGTACTAAGTAGAAAGAAAAGAAAAAGAAAATCCCCGGTGGCGGGTTTTGATTACTCCCATGTGGAAAATCAGTCAACAGTGGCACTTCGTTTTCCCTTTGCACTAGTAGGACTAACACAAACTTGGACTGAAATTGATCCCTGGTTTTTAGAGCCACCACCATCACCCCTTTGTACTTAGTCTGCCACACTAACTAACCAATCCGAGGGGCCCAAGCGGCCATTAAATCAAAGTAGATAGCAGTTCTCCGTCAATTCGTAGCATTGACCAATGTTTCGCACTTGCTGCTTCCCAGTTCTCTCTGGACTATGAGTCTTTCCAAAGAGAGAGGCGGGTGGGGAATTTGTTCAACCTTTTCCCCCCTTCCCTTCCCCTTCCCTTCCCTTTTTCCATGGACCGAAGGGATGGATGGATGGATGAGTAGGTTAGAGGGGGAAAAAAATGCAATGACATCAGCGATACCCATCCCTGATCATCCACGAACCCGCATTCCCAAAAAGAAAAAATTAAATTAAATTAAAAATAAAAATAACCAAACATCCGATCCTCTCTTTCAGGAATAGTCTGAATGCGTGAGTTCTACTACATACTTTGTAGGCAGTGACTCTGTTGGTTTACTACTCAGTTCACCATACCATGTGCAACCAACCACCTGATACATAGACAGTAGTAGTCCGTAGGGTACATAATAGCTGAATGAATACCTACTACTTATTTACCTACTACTTTGGTCAGGCGACTAGATATTTGTTCAACTTGTAAGTATGAATGAATCCTGTTTCAAATTATGAGGAAAGGATTTATTATACTTTCTGCATTACATCCATGCACATTGAGAGCTGAGTCCTACTACTTACTTACTTACCCCTCCCCTCCCCTCCTCGTCCCATCCCATCTCCCAGGATCAATTAAATGAAGGGTGCTACATACAGTAGTAGTATGCCATGTAGCACTAGTTTTGCGACAACAATGCCTATGAGGTCATCAGCCGGAATGCCATAACTGAATCTCCCAACTAGGACTACTATCTGCCTGTCCTGACTCGCTTGGCGAAAGCATGTGGGATTTCGGGTATGCTTGCTTACTTGCTGCCTAGTCGCGAACCCCCTAATTACCCATATTAATGAGTGATTTTAATTTTATTTTGATTTCTTATTATGATGAAGAAACTGTTCCCTTTCAATCCATTCCTGGCATAGATGATTAGTAGATCCGCTCTTGGCTGTCTAGGAAAGGAAAACCTCCTGTTCTTCACATTTCCTTTCGCTTCCGGTTTCTTCGAACTCGCCTCGGGGTTCTCGGATGTGGGTGGGCAGCTAACTAGAGAGTCTTTCCGGAACAACTCCTCCCCCCCCACACATATCATCGTGATATGGTAATCTGTGTTGGTACGGTAGTTTAGTACTACTAGGCTGCCTACCGCTGTCATGTTGAGAAATATTCAGAAACCAATTAAACCCTAGTTAGTTGGTTTCTTCGGATGGAGGTTTCCCGCGGATTCGAGCCTTGCCTTTTGTCGGGCTGTCTTCAAGATGTGAGTAGTTATGTATGTCTGTGACACCGAGGAACATATACAGAGTAGAAAGTCAAGAAAGACTAGAGATGGGGTGTCCATACCCCAGTTTCATATTCGCTGTGGCGTCATAGCCAGTTAGCGGATACTAAATACTACTATAGTACTATAACTTCATTTGGTCGTAGTTATCCCTTCGTATCCTGATAAGCACATACGAACGGTAACAACTGCAATAATACGGGTTCCATCGGAAAAGACCCTCTGATACGAGGTCGCGTGCTCTGGTGATGTCTCTTACAACCCTTGGGACTCTCTGCCCTGGTCTGGGCTTCTCCTGCCTGATCTATACGAAATAGATCGCACAGTATACCCTCATCGATGGGGCACAGTCGAGGTGTGCCTCGATCTCTCCAGAGCTTCGGCGCGGCCTCTGATTATTAAAGCATCTTCCTCGATCGATTTAGTTAATCGGCGAATCTTCTCCATTTCGCGAGCCCGATTTTTAGTCGCGATAGCTACCAATTTGCGCGCCGTTTCAACCTCAGCCGCCTCCATGTCTGTCAGTCCACGCGTATGCCGCGACTGATGATTATTTTTGAGGTTCTTCTTAATGTTGGTGATCTTTGTAACAGCTTTGACAAGGGGTAACATGAATGTCATGTGCGACGTGAGCCAGGAAGCATTTTCAGGTGTAGCGCCTTGATGGCCAAAGACCACATCCATGGCCGCCGCCCGTTGCGTAAACCTCTTGAGACTCTGAGCTCCCTGGGGCACCGGCGCCACGTTCTGTTCCCAGTCGAAGTATGGGAGTTTCATACCATTGCGATCCTCTTCGCCGCAGGAACGGTCACCATCTGTTGACTCGGCGTCTTGTATCATCTTCATCTCCTTCCAGGTCTCATACATCCACAGCTCTTCCGGTGTCAGCTGGCTCATGGCCACGCTCTCCGGGTCGCTTTTCGATGGGTATGTTGCCAATTTCAGTCCCGTGAATAGTGCGAGACTGTTGCCTTGCTCGACGGTTTTAGCTAGCTCTTTAAGCTTCGTACATGTCGCTTCAAGATCATCGGTCTCGGTAGGCACAGCCAGGAATTTGAAACCCTCGTTTACTTGTGTACTGTCCGCAGAAGGCGTACTCGGGTCGTGGTATTCACGCTTCACTCCATGGCGCTCTGGTGCTATCTGTGTATCAAGAACGCGTACCCCACGCGTTGGTAGTTGACGTTCCATCTTTCCGTATCGGATCTTGATCTATGTAGGGATATCTGAGTTTTGGATGCGGACGTTCTGAAGAGACAAGAACCGAGATGGGACAACACCTTATGAGCCAGCTGGCAGAAATCGTTTCATGTTAGTCCGTGAGAAAAAGTTCATGGGCTAGCGATTATTCCGTAGGGGTCACACCGACTGTCATCCAGCTGTTCGAGGAGTTTCTCGCGGAAAGCTTACCACGTTCTGGTTCAGGTAATGATCACGTGCATTTCCAGACCGTTCGTCTCTGATCCTCAGCCGTCGTCTCCCTCCTATTGATGGCTTGCACTCCCTGCTAGAGAGAGTCGAGAATATCTGGCAGAATACTTACGGTATTTTGTTGCCAAAAGATCTTTCAAACTGAGAGATATCTTCCCCGTGAAGGGGTGGTGAGCAGAAGTCAAGATGAGGTATCAGTGAGAGAAGCGTAAACCAAAGAGGGCTTTTCATATAAGAGCCACTATGGTAGTCATGGAACATGCGACTACAATAAATAGAAGCAAGTGAAAGAAGTAAATGTGAATTGCATCGATATTGTACAGAGGTGCAGCCAAATTCAGTAAGAGTATCCGACCGGCCGCCCTTTCCTAATATACACAATGTTCTGATCCGTGACGTTTCTCGTTGTATACATGGTGAGATCATATGCAGGTGTCAAAGTGGTCTGAAATTTCAGAGTGTGACCGTGAAAGGAAGGAAAAGAAAGGTTCAGAAGGGTAGGAGAGTGTCCGTCAAAAGCAAAAAAGAAAGGAGTACCCCCAAAAACGCCAGAGCTCCACGCTTGAATGTCGCATATATATTTCCCGTGTTGGTCGCCTTATTCTCCAGTTCGATGAGAAGCTCGAATTCAATTGTCGTCATCTTGAATAGACGCATGCCCATGGCCGGATAGCCAAACTCGCTTCCAGGGACCACCCTCTGGTCCGAACGCTGCCTCTCGATCTTGACGCATCCCTTCAAGAACACCCACAATACCGCCATTACGCAAGCGCTCGAGAACCACATTCATGCCCTGCTTGCTCTTGAGCACGGCATCCCGGGTGCGGTTCAATCCAATCAGCTCAATTGTGCGTTGGATTCCCGCAGTGGACAGGGAGGTGAAAAGGCCTCTTTTTGGAGCTTCTTCTTCATAATCCCCGGTGTGGTCACTACTCGGCTCGGTCTTCCTTCTACCTAGCAATTTTCCTTGCCCGAATTTGGACCGGAAAGTGACTGTGGTGCGCACCGTAGTCTGTTCGCTTTTTTTGTCATCAAGCGAAAGCCCTTCCAGCGTGCCGAATGGACCTTCATGGGGCTGGCGTTGATAGAATTGTCTCTCGACCACGCTCAATATCCCGGTCCATTCCATGTTACGAGATTCCGTCTGCATCCAACCCTCTTTGGCGTCGACGACAGTCGTTTCGAGGATATAGCTCTGGCCGGAATTGTCTGAGCCGCCAATCCCCTTGGGAAGGAGTTTGAGGATTCCCGAGGGAACCTTGGATTTCTTGAGAAGGAGACGAGTGGTGTGGAGACGCTGGGTCGTCGGGTCGACGTAACGGTCAATGACATCGGTGGTCAACACATGGCGAGAATAAGGGTTGGGATAGCGAAGGAAGTAGGCCAGCGACACGGCCGGGAAGGAGTAGTCGTAGGTGAAGACATTCTCGAAGAATTTCATAATTGCGAATGATGCATACAGAGTGGATTGAAGGATTGAGATGAGAAAGTCACGCCGACTGGATGGGTGGAGGAAGAGGATGGAACTGGAGCAGAGGGTGGCGTTGGGGATGCTGCTTGGTTTAAAGTAAATGAACTGCAGTGCTCGCCTGCTCAATCGCCATTCTCAGTGGCCGGACGAATCTGCCCGAGCCTCCGACTGGGAAGAATTTCTGTCAGCTTCTGGCCGCTCGCCGCTAAGCCTGTTCGGTAATGCGGGGATGGGCCGGTGCATCATCTGATTGTCCCCCCACGGGCCAATCATCATGTAGTACTTAGTAGTACTCTTTTTCTTCAGCTGCTACTATAGACCAGGACTGCGTGGCAGACAGCAAAATCTATGCTGATCCTCGTATGATCATGTTCGAGGTATCACTTCCTGACGTCAAGATGGACAGCCTGTCTGGGATGGGTATTTTGCAAATACTACGGAACTATCAGCCAATCTTCCGTCAATTTATATATCCGAGCTGTAACTAAGCAAGTACACCAACTAACTATGCCGCAAGTACTACTACTACTACTACTACTGTCGGAGTATTACTTTTCAGTAGTAGAGTTTCAATACTATATCATATTAAGTACTTACCAGTACCAGTACTGCTAATACTATTAGTGCCGTTTTGCGACGAAACGGAGGAGCCATGACAGCCAAGCTTTTTGACTCTAGTACCAGTACTATCAACTACTACTAGTACTAGTAGTAACAGCAGAGTAGTACTTAGTACCCACTACTAGTCACACCTAACTATATACGAGGGGTAGTACTGTAGTACTAGTAGCATTGAAGAATCCACGCAGTACCGATTTCATCATAGGAGTACTAGCAGAATTATATAACCCTGCTCGTTTTGGATATGCTGCATCTCATAACAGCCTTTCGTCATAATCGGGTGCAGTACAGTCGGACTCTGACGTGGCCCTGCAATATAAATGGTAGGTGCGGAGTAGTACTATTTGGCGCTTCTATGCATAAGATATGTCAACCAAGGTGACACATGCCCGCAAGTCCATACTCCCAACATGAGCGATGGGGAAGGCCTGGTGTCTCATCGGGGTCCGGGATATCTGGATTCTCAACTCCACTCGAAAATCCTTCTTTTGGCGGGCTTAGAAAGACGTTAGGTGTGTGGCTCGTCGAACTCTCCTAGTACGATTTGACCGCGGATAAAACCTCGGACACTATTACTGAGCCAACACTCCTCGCCATCCACTAGGTCAGTAGCTGCAATTGCCTCCTCAGTGCAGAATCCTTGTGCTAAAGCATATTGCCTCGTGGTACCCGCATTGCCACCGCTGGAAAGCGGCGGTGTGATCCAAGCCGGCTTTCCCTCCCCATCCGTCGTATCTCGTCGCCTGAAGTATGGTGTTGTAATGCTTCCTTCCATGATCTCACCCGCCGGATTTACCAGAAGAACTTCCGCAGGCTCTACAAAAGATACTATTCCCGATCGAAGACGCGCAGCTGTGTAAAAGTCGCGAGTCGTAGTCTTGTGTGTGGTGAATGCAGAGGGGGATATACGTTCGGAATCAATGTATACGCGCCAGGCCGTAGACTGGAGGTCCGTTTCGAATGGAGTTAGAAAATTCAGCGGATTTATCGATGTCGTCGGGTTGACCTCAACCTCGCAAGTGCCCGTGCTATCGAGGAGTATTCGGAGGCGCCATGGCTTGGTAATATCCGGAATGAAGGTGTCCAGAAACTCGACGAACTGATTTGTGTCTTGTTTCAGGAAGGTGAGAGCATTTCCCCAGCTGAAACATGCCGCTGCATTTCGGAGGCGTTCTTGATGATAAGGGAGGAGATAATACGGTGTGGTCAATGGATCGGGTGAAGTTCTTGCCGCTGTCCGCTTGCCTATCGTTAAAAGTGCAGGATCGTAGCGTAAAGACGATATGATTTTGAAGTCCTGTGGCAGCAGATTCGAGGCCATTCTTTGCCGTCGCGGTAATTGCGACCGAGGGTAGGAGATGAGACACTTGTGAGTAGTAGTAGCTAGACAAAGCACCGAGCTGTTAGCAAGTACTGGCCGTGCTGTTGAACAACTCGGCACATTAGACGGTCGCACACTAGAAAAAGGGCGTTTGCGCAATTGGGAAGATCAATTTGTGCCAGCCTGAGCTTGGTGAGAGGGCCATGATCCAGCACAGGGAACGAGACATTGGCCCATCTGCCTTGGAATCACGGATGATGATGTTGTGGAGAAAGCAGGAGCTGACGGAGCCCATCCCCTTGCGGCGAGTGTGATTGGCCCAAAACAGCTCGGAAAGCCCGCTGCGTCGCCGGAACCTGAACATCGCAACGCATAACTTTTCAAGCCGCATCTCTCCTCGTTCTCTTCCAACCCCAAGACAAGTTGTCCGCCCTGCCGACAAGCACTTGCTCTGCACTCAGGACCGTCTGTGCTCCCCATCAATGTCCCCTCAGGCCCCTTCGCTGCCACGATGCTGACCGAGCTCGCTTGTAGATTTTATAGGAAAAGCGATAAGAAGACGGGTTCCTCTGTCGGGTCATCATGTCAAGCCAGTCGCCATTGCCCCAGCCTACGAAGAACGTCGTTCTTGACACGACTTCTCTTCCCCCATCTTCATCAGCATCAGTTTGGGACCGCATCTCGAAATGGGTGTCGGAAAATAAGGCCCTTGTTTACACCATTGCCGGTGTTGCTGTGGTCGTGACGAGCGCGGGTGTCGTCTACTACCTCTCCGACTCGAGTCGGACTACCCCGGCCCCTCCCACAGAGAAGAAGAAGAGTAAGAACCAGAGAAGAAAGGAGAAGAAGAAGGCAGAAGAGGAGAAGAAGGCCAAGGCTGCCTCCGTTCAAGAGGGTATGTCGATGAGAACCACACTCTGCCTCTCCCGTCGACAAGCATCCGGTTCGGGCTGACGATCTCCTTAGAGCCTGCGGCGAAGAAGCCGGAGGAAGCCTCTGAAGAACTTCCAGAAGTTGACGAGGAATCCGTTGCACAGCTGTCGGAAGAGGTGAGTCATTGGTCTTTTACAATGGAAACAGCCAGGCGCCGATACCGCAAATGCTAACACCCGTTTCAAAGACAAGGAAGGCTTACGCAGCCAAGCTCAAGGCTGCTGGAAACAAGGCGTATGGCTCCAAGGACTACAACAAAGCCATTGAGCTCTACGGAAAGGCCATTCTCTGCAAGCCCGACCCAGTCTTCTACTCGAACCGTGCCGCCTGCTACAACGTTCTGTCGGAGTGGGAGAAGGTTGTCGAAGATACCAGTGCCGCTCTCGCCATGGACAGCGAGTACGTCAAAGCCCTGAACCGGAGAGCTATTGCATACGAACACCTGGAGAAGTTCAGCGAGGCTCTTCTTGACTTTACTGCCAGCTGCATCATTGACGGCTTCTCCAACGAGATCAGCCGTGTTGCTCTGGAAAGACTCCTGAAGAAGGTTGCTGAGAGGAAAGGAAAGGCCATTATTGAGGCGAAGGGCAAGAAGCTCCCTAGCCCGACCTTCGTTTCGAACTATCTCCAGAGCTTCCGCCCCCAGGCACTGCCCGAAGGCCTCGATGAGTCTGTGGATCTGAGCGAAGAATCTGGCAAGGGCCAACTCCGCAAGGGTCTGCTTGCAATGGCCCTGAAGACTGGTGATGGCTATGAGGAGGCTGCTTCTGCTTTTGAGAAGGCCCTGGAGCTCGGAGACTTGGGTGAATACGAAGCCCTTGCTCTTAACCTGAGAGCCACTTTCACCTATCTCGAGGGTAACGCCCAGGCCGCATTGTTGGATCTCAACAAGAGTGTTGAGTTGCAGCCGTCGTTGGTTCAGAGCTACATCAAGCGTGCCAGCTTGCACCTCGAGCTCGGTATGTCAAACGCCGTTCTTTATGGTAGATGCTTTGCTGACAAGTCGAAAAGGAAACAAGGACGCCGCTGCCGACGACTTCGAGCTCGCCATCACCCACAACAAGGATGACCCCGACATCTACTACCACCGCGCCCAGCTTCACTTCATTCTCGGAGAGTTCGCCGAGGCTGCTAAGGATTACCAGAAATCCATCGATCTCGACCGTACTTTCATCTACTCCCACATCCAACTTGGTGTTACGCAGTATAAGATGGGCTCCGTTGCGTCCGCTATGGCTACTTTCAGAAGATCCGTGAAGAACTTTGAAGAAGTGCCCGATGTCTACAACTACTACGGTGAACTTCTTCTCGACCAGCAGAACTTCTCGGAGGCGATTGAGAAGTTCGACAAGGCCGTGGAGATGGAGAAACAGAGCAAGCCTATGGGTATCAACGTTCTGCCCCTGATCAACAAGGCTCTTGCCTTGTTCCAGTGGAAGCACGATTTCCAGGAGGCTGAGAACCTCTGCCAGAAAGCCCTGATCAGTAAGTCTTGCGGTCCTTCGCTATAAGTGGTGAGAGCTTGGAACACTAACCGGCTTGCAGTTGATCCTGAATGCGATATCGCCGTAGGAACGATGGCGCAGCTTCTGCTGCAGCAGGGCAAGGTCTCGCAGGCCCTCAAGTACTTTGAGCGTGCCGCTGAGCTTGCTCGTACCGAGGCGGAGATTATCAATGCCATCTCCTATGCTGAGGCCACCCGCACGCAGCTGGAGGTCCAGGAGAAGTACCCCCAGCTTGCTGCCCGTCTGCAAGGCATGGGTGCTGGCTTTGCCCCCCCTCCCTCTCTGTAAGATTGAGTCCTGATATATCTTCATTTACACCCGTCAAGACACCAAAAGACGTGTACGACCTAATCTCTTCTCCCTCATTCTCCTCTGTCTTGGAATTCCGGTGCTTGAAGCGTTGCAGGCTGTAGGTCATGCCTGGTCTGCTCAGGTAGGTGCATGGGCGCCTGAGCCATTCATCTCTCTGTGTATTTACTATAAGGACTTCTTCTTTTCGTTTTCTATGTCTCGTTTCATTTGACGTTTTTTTATTTTCATTTTGTGCTGATATACTGTTTTATCTCCTGCTGCGACTGTGTTTCCATTTTCTATTTGCGAGATGGTTTTTCTTTCACCTCGCTGTTTGTCTTCAAGTTCTCTCCATTGGTTCTGGGCGAGGCCACACTGGGCTCTTTTGTCAAGGACGAAATGCAGGCATGATGAGGGAGGTCTGCGGACCGGAAGATACACATATTCTTTCTATCCGGCATGTCGGTTTGAAGGAAGAAGGGCAAGAACGAGCGATGTATGTATGTACCATAGTATAGGGAAAGCCAAGTGTGGGATGAATAATTTCAAGTCAAGAAAGAGTAATGATGAGACGTGTCGAGTGATGGGGAGTAATTGATGAGAGTAGATAGTTCCCGCCAAGTCACTGGATCACCTTTTGAGTAACTGACTAGTTACTACTCCGTAGTAAGTAGTAACTCTAACAAGCCTTACTACTCCGTACTCCGTCCGACTAACTTAGTAGTGCTGGTCCACCTGACGGGTATTTCCCCCCCACCCGCCCGCCTATCAGCACTCGCTGTCTCGCCCGCATCGGCGTCATCCATCTTGTCCGAACATGTTATCGTTCGACTCATCTACTCCCTATCGGACACTCACTCTCCAACTTCTCTGTTGAGTGACACCCTTCCTACTTCTTTCTCCGTATTCCTTGTGAGTGAGACGAGACGCTGTCTCAGTTTTTCTTGAGGTGTGTTAAACTGCCCCATTCTCTTTTGTTTGTGAACCAAAACTGGTAGTAGGTACTGCCCCTTCATATCCCTTATCAAATACACTATGAATTTACACCCTCGGCCTGATCGCCGTCAAGTCTTCCTGCAGGCAACTATTTGGGAACCGTCTAGGCTGCCTCTGACATTCACTGCTGGAACTAACACTTTAGTATCGTCTAAAAGCCAGTGACTTTTCTTCTACGTTTCCCGGGTGCCTGACAGCGACCGCCCATTGACCTCAGGCTGATCCCATCGGGTCGGTTGAATGCTCCTGCCCCTCCTACCCAAAGCTTCCTCGGGTTCCCCCGTTGGCCGCCTCGTCAGCCTGCTGTAAACACCTCATCACTTTCCTGCTTTTCCCCTCTCGACTTTATCGTGGTTTTTCACCTACCTCCAAAGGCTACACTGAGATCTGTTTCCGCTCTCTGCCGTCTTGTCGGTTGACGTTGATGCTGAGTAGTAGGTAAGCGCCCAGGCAGCCTCTCAGGTCTCTGGCATCCAACCTTGACATTTGAGCGCCCGGGAGTTTAAGATATAAGACACTAATGCCTTGCTTCGATCCAGACTGCACGTCTTCACAACTGTCGCTCTATCTCTCTGCGCTGACGGCACAACCACTCATCACCATGCCTGCCACACAGGGTAAGTGCCTGCTCTGCACTAGCCTATACGCGCCGAAGCCAAATCGAACTAACACCTGTTCTTCGGGCAGCTATTGTGACTCTCCGCCCCTTGTCTATATCCGATGATTTGCCATATCGTTCCCTAGAGTTCACTTCTACCAATAACCAGGTCAACATTGGTCGGGCGTCTAAGCGTCAATCCAAGAATCTTATCCCCGCCAGAAACAATGGATTATTTGAGTCTAGGGTCATGTCACGAAATCATGCCAAGCTATGGGTGTGCTTCGACAAGCAGGTACGTGGTTCATGTGGCTATCATCTCAGTTACAAGTAGTTGGGCTTCAGGCCAAACGTCGCTGAACGTTGTTTAGCTCGTCTATATTCGTGATGGTGGGTCGATGCATGGTACCTGGATAAATGGGAAGAAAATCCCCACAGAGGAGGACTCGGTCATCAATCATGATGACGTGGTCACCTTTGGCTCCACAGTGTATCGTGGCTCTGGTGAGTCTTGCCCGACTACTGAGAAAGGTACAGATGTTTTATTGACGTGTCATATAAGATACCTTCCCTCCACTAAAAGTTCGTTGTGAATTCGAATGGCCTGACCCTTTGTATGCCACATGTGTTCCACCGACTTTGAGCAGTGTTGACACCATGGACAGCCAGAGACCTGCGCTTGCAACCAATACCTTTTGTGTTCCTGACGATGATGACAGTGATGCAAAAGAAGATTCCATTCCTATGGTGGTCGCATCCGGCAGTGCTTCCGAGATTGATAACTCTAGCCCAGATTCAGATTCAGACGACCAATCTGTCATGGAGATATCGTCGCCTTTGACGTCTCCTCTGAAGAGGGACGACGCAAGGAATTCCCACGTGGGTGCCTGCTCCGACACAGATCGAGTGGGTAAACATGATGGCCAGGAAGGACCCGAACTGAGCCCTATAGATCTTGAGCATGGACAGCACGAACAGCCTCTGGTAACCCCCCGAATGACCCCACCCTCCGTCATAGATCTCGTCGACGACCCGAGTAACACGGCTCATGATTTTGATGACTTCATTCAGGAGGCGGACAGTGCGTCTGCGATGAGTTCCTCTGACGACGAAGATTCCAGCTGGGGTGAAGATGACCGTGCTGGCTCGGATGACGATGACGATGACGAGGTGGATTCCCAGTCTTCGTTCAGATCGGAAGCAGAACAGTCCCATGAAGATGAGGAGTCTGTGAGATCGAGCAGCCTTCATGTCCTAGGTATTCGTGACTTGATAGCAACAGAGGCGAGCTTTACTGCGGAGGAAACACACACCCGCTTGCCATTGGGAAATAATACTTCTCAGCCCGATCGACTTGGGGAGGACATGGCCTGTGAAGCTGAGCCCTGTGAGCCGGAGTTGCTGGCCGTTAGGGATCCCACATCAGATCTGCGTTCTCAGAGCACTGGCCCTTCCAAAATAATGTCGACTGAAGCTCCACCACCGCCAATCTTATTGCAGCCGACTCTATCACCTTCTTACGGAAAGACAGTTGATCGTTCGGTACCGAGCTACCAGAATAGCCCCCCTATGATGCACATGGACTGGTGGAATCCACGAACCACTGCAAACACTTCGTACTCCCTCAATATTCCCCCAACTCCGCAAGTGCCTTATGCCGACGGACCTTTTGTCAACAACGAGTCGTTCCTGCTTGGTGAGACTGGTTCTGCTTGCAATCGTGGTGCTGATTCAGTCATTGCATCTATGGGTACCCCTGGGTTTATAAGTGAGGAAGCAGCTCCGAGCGACGGACAAGAAATCCAAGAAACACCCATGCCTGAGAAACAGCCAGATCCCACTCCAACACCATTGCCACAGATGCAAAGGTCCGAGACGGGATTGGATAGCATTCAGACAAACAAGTCACTGAAGAGGAAGGCGGAGGATGTTGATGGCCCGTCTGGGAGCTCCGAACCAGACGTTGCTACTGATCATCGAGACGGAGTTGACTCATCTATGACAAGCGATAGCCAATCGTCTGACCAAGAGACTGGCTATCCAGATGCTCAGCCACAGATGATAGCGGACCAACAGGAAATTCCATCCCAGTTATCAGACTTGGACAGTGCGAAAGAGCTGCTGTCAGTTGACGACCCTATCGATGATGCTAGGATGACCGCACCTCCCACGAAGCGAGCAAAGACTTCTAGTGCGGGGAGGTTTGCCAGCCATGCTGCAACAGCTGCTTTGGGTGTAGCCATCGGTGCTTTTGGTACTATCGCTGCGTTGGCGTCGCTTCCACCAGATTACTTTCAGTAAAGGACACAGGAGTTGTCCCGGAATTGGTCACTCGCTTTGGAAACCATGCGCTTTTGCGATGAAACACGGTGCTGATGAACCACACCGAGTACGTGGTGCTATCGGCGTTCTCTTCTCATACCTTTCCGAATTGGGATATGGCGGGTGGTACTTCTTTGTCTCTTACTCTTCTTTCTTTTTCTTTTCCCACTTTTCCTATGTTTGGTATTCGGGCGTGTTTTCTCGCTGTTTTCTTATCTTCCTGCTCTAATGGGCTTCTCAGAACTGAGGTACAACCGGCCAGCCCACAGAAACCTGGATGTAATTATTGTTCTAGCAAATATTACAGCCAGTTCTTCCGATGGCACACTAGTTGGTGTTGTTCCGGGGTGTATGAGACGGGCCAATGTAACCACGGCCGCAAGGCAGGCTCGTCTCGCTCTCATGATCGGTGGGCCGGCTTTTAGTTACGACCGGGGGTTCATCTTGGTTCTCTCTGCTGAGCAGAGCCTATTGGCATTGGCCGATTGGCCTACTGACTTGGTGACCGCCATGAAGTCGACCATGACCACCACGTCGGCACCTCTATCATGGCTTCTCGTTCGTTCGGTCCTTTCTCCCTCCCTTCCTCTCTCTTTCCGTCTTTGCATATCCTTATTTATCCTGATCTGTCGTAGAGGAGCTGCCACCGCTTCTTCTTCCCCCACCTCCCCCCTTATAACCCACCATTGTCGGGGTCGTTGCGCACCCGGGGTAAGATTTCCCAACGAAGGGCATTAGTAGCTGAATCGAAGGTGTCTAACCGTTTCGGCCGGCCGGGTTGACGTATGCCACTTTCTCTTTTTCTTTCTTTCTTTCTTTTATTTTTTCTTCCCTCCTCCTAGCCTTGCTTTTCTCTGTACAACAAACGGTGCCTCTAGCAGCAGTTCCACTCCGTCAAGCGCGCGAGTCGCATCCGGTTTCCCTCGGGTAGTGTCCCTGTCCCTGTCCCGTGCCCGGTGCCTTGAGTTTCAAGGCGGAACTCCTTTCGCCTGGCCTGCTTTTCCTTTCTCTTTCCAGGGATCTCTATCCCGGCCAGCACTTTTCGCTGCGAGTCGGGCAGGTTAACAATAGCAACTAGAACGTGCCCTAATCAAATTCCAAGTTGGGCCCTCAGTCGCGCGCGTGATGCCTGCCGGATACTTGCAGCTCACCGACCATTGATCTCACTAGAGACCCGACTTCGCCCTCCTCCACTCTTACCTTACTTGTAAGCCACCCACCCTTGCAATTTTTTCCCTCCTTGCTCCTTTCTTTTCCCTTGTTCTCTCCGTTTCTTTATTCGGAAATCACTCCTGTTTCCCTGGTGGTGGGATCCACCCATGACCTAGACGGAAATGAACCACATGGATGGCATTGTCAAGCTTGTCAAACCCACACCTCTGACTTCTTAGACCTATTCCATCCCGGACTTGGGTTCTCTACCGATAGGTTTAGCTCCTTCAGTTAACCAGGACTCAAGTGGGCGTGCCGTATTCTGTACCTGCGGCAGGAGCATCAAAGTAAAGCAAGTTTTCCGCCATGAACTGCGTGAGTTCCAACCGCAGTTCGAATCCCATAATATGGACAGGGGTTCATATAACATGTGACCAATCCGCAGACATAGGCCACCCCAAGAATCCCCAGGATCTTCGCCCATTGGTCCACGCGAACAAATTTCCTTTGCCTTTTCATGAGGACGACGCAAGATTAATCCCCCCAAAGCCGAGCAATCACGCTACACTGCGGTTGCGATGGGATCCCCATGTCACCTTCCTTTCTCCCTTGAGTATAGAGGGTCGGATACCTGCAGAAATCAGGAATGAACCGCCATTTGCGAGGCACGGAAATTACGGCCTGCAAAATCACTATCTGATCATCCAGTAATCTGCTACTCTCATTAATTTCTTTTCTTTTTCCTTCTCTCGAGGGCGCTTGTCCGCGTGTCCTCGTGCCCCTGCGGTTTCATGGCTCCCGTCACACTGTACTCATTGTTCACAGGCCCGCATGAACAAAATTCCTCTCCCCTCACTCTTCTCTGGTTCTACTTGCTATTTCTTCTTTGACTTCGTCAGCCTCCTTCTGCTCTATTCTTCAGGGGACGAGAAGACAGCTTTTAGCGCATGGGCAGTGGCGCTGCCGCTAAATCGACCTGAACGCCGCACAACCGTTGCCCCATCGCTTACGGACACATCACATTGGGAAGCCCGAGGAGAATGTCGCCTAGAAAATAAGCTGATGCGTAGCTTACAGGGCCACGGAGTTAGGCAGAAATTGTCAAGTCTATCCGAAGCCTCTTCAAGCACCATAACATGATTGGGTGAACAGCCCGGCTGTGATGCAGCTTCGTGCATGAAACAACCTACGATCTATATCAGAATCTAGGGAGAAGCCCACGGCGAACTCAAGGCATACCGTATTGGCGGACGCCGATGACTCTGTATGGCTGCGAGTTCAGTGTCACTACGTCCACAACACGTCGCTGGAACAGAATTCCGCGTTATCAGGATATGTTGCCAACCATGATCGTGTAGGTGCGTGTCGCACTGCGCCTATCCGTTATGGGAGGCCAGGGAAAGGCTTAAAGGGCCACGTCGCATTGGAAGCAGTTGACCTGGGATGTTTGCCGAGCTTAGCGATTTTTGTTAGTCGCGTAACACAATCCTCCGTGGCTGCCATGCTTCTGGGTCTTGTATCCCGCCGTATAACATTTCCGGCTTCTGCTTGGTCACATACTCGAACCTGGACTGACTTCGGTATTTTCGACTAAGCGCACCATGCAGCTGTAATCACCTGTTCGGTTTCCCAATCCATGATAATCGAGATCCATCATTTTCCGATACGCTTGGGCAAGCTGTGCATCTAGGCACCTGGTCTAGTTGGCAACGGCCGGCACAACGCCCATAAACTGGACCCGGCCCTATGGATCAAGAGTGCAGGAAGGGCTCCACTGGGGCGCGGAGTCTTTCCCTGAAGGAATCGGAAGTGTTGACACACCCGACAGGCACATCCTGCATCTCCTCAGGTGGCCTGGGACTATCTCTGCGGCCCCTTCATGATCCTGGGGGGGGGGGGGGGGGGGCCCCCCCCCCCCCCCCCCCCCCCGGGGGGGGGGGGGGCCCCCCCCCCCCCCCCCCGGGGGGGGGGGGGGGGGGGGGGGGGGGTACCGCACCGTCCGGCCTCATGCTATTGGTGCGGCATATCGAAAATAAAAACTCCTGGATGTGATTGAACCTTCGTGCCTTGAATTTTGTTCGGACGATGAGATCCCGACAGATAATTTGACGTTGCTGATACGAAGTGCACTTGACTCGAGAGCAGGTAGCACACATCGATGACCGAATGAGTCTTACAGGTTCCCGTCCCCCGCGAGCTTGCCCTTGGCACTAAGCAGGGAGCTGGCTGACTTGGCTGAAGCCATCAGCCATTGCTTTTTCTTTCTCATTACCTTCCTATACGGGAAGCCTTGCTGATTTCATGTCTCATCTTAATAACTGATAATCCCAGTGGCCCCTTTACAAATAGCGCGTTTGGTCATGAAAAATAGCATATTCGACTCTTGATTCCCTCTCTCTGTCCGATCAAGTACTACTCCTCTCCAGAAGTTCTGGACCAGTCTCTAAACATAGCCTTTTATTGGACTGCATTTTACCACCTCGTCTTTGTTCCTGATTGAAGACATGTCTCACCAATCTGGGCTAATGTATCAACGAGACCCGGGGCATACCTCCTGCATTGGGGGACGGACAGTGGTAACATGCCGAAGCTGTGCGGGAAACGCACCGCGGTTAGTCGATACATCCAATGGTCTTTTATTTACTCCATTGCCAATGCTAATCGGAATCAGAAACTCTGTTTGCAGTAGCTGCAATGGCCGTGGGTTTAATGTGTTCATATGTCCTCATTGCCATCCAGCCGCTGCGGCGGCGGCGTTCAAGGGTTGTGTTGGATCATCACAAGGCACCACACCGAATTCTTCCGTCCCTGCCTCGCCGTCGTCTCTGAGCAGGAGCTCGTCCACCTTGTCCTCTGATACCAGGCATATCGGGAACGAAAGGCGGTCGGGGGACAGCGATGAGAGCTCTTCAGGCGGACACATTGGAGCAGGGACTATTTCATCACGGACGGTATAAAGGATTCTTAGGGGACTCGGGCCAGGGGCGCTGGTCGCTGCTGTGCCCAGTGGGCTTTCGGGCATACTCATTCAGTTGCTTTATACGATGTGCTTATCGTACATTTCTTAACTTATGAGGGACTACAAGGGCGGGTGTGCTAAGACTCTCTTTTGGCGAACTGCAGGCGCATCAGGAAGTAGAGGGAAGCATGGTCTTCCATGCCGGAAACGTCTCGAGGATCTTTGATTTCACACCATGTCACGATGCCCCTATTCTCATCGCACTTCATTCCGATGTACTTACTGTAATACGCCAGGTACCGATAGGAAAATGAAATGTCAGATGCTTGGATGGAGTGACGTCAGCTTCCGGGGTGAGTTCCCCCGAAGTCTCTCTCCAATTCTGGATTCCGAACTTCTGGTTTGCCTCGGATGCGAAGAAGTGCAAGGATCAATTTCATTTGCCCCCTAAACTCTCCTCTTTACTCCAAGGATCCCCTTTGGGCTTCTTCTCAGCCACCTACCCCCGGATATCCCGACCTCCGCTCCTCCACGGCATATCCGACAGCCGACAATGGAGGTCTGGAGTCCGGGGCAAGACACGAAGACGATCACTCCACCACCGGTTCCGAATGCTGTTCCGTCCAGAAAACTATATGTAGGAACCATGACTGCCCCTGAACTCAAAATCTGCTTGTTCTTTCCTTAGTCCTCATTAACACTTGCTGTTCTCACAACATGGCCTTGTCTTTCACTGAAAAGCCCCCGCAGGGGAGGGTCCCTTATGCGATCCCGCAATTGGAGGGCGAACGCATCACAATCCCCGGCAGCAAAGGAGCCTTTCGCATTCTGGCTTCCTCCAAGCAGACCAATGGCCTCATGGCTGTCTTTCAGAGCGGAGCAGTCCTTTCGGACGCCCCAGGCTTTCACTATCACAACCACGCCCATGATGTCTTCCTGGTGACCAAGGGCTTCTTAAAACTATGGAATGGAGACAAATGTCGGATAATGGGGCCTGGAGATTTCGCCTATGTCCCTCCCGTATGTTGGAACCTGTTCGCTCTGCTGCATGCCCTGTCCTTCCTTTCTTCGCTCCCGGCTGACCCTACAATGCCTACAATAGACTGTGGTTCATAACCCGGAATTGCTAGGACCACATACAGAGACCTACGGCGTCGTTACTCCCGGCGACTGGGTCGACTTCTTCCGCTACGTCTCCGAGCCCTATGAGGGGATCCTGGTTCCGGAGAACGACGAACGCGACCTCAAAGCGCTATTGATACCCAAAGTGATGGCTGCGAAGCAGGACTTTGACGTCGTGTTCCAGCCAAACTACCAACCTCCTGCACTTGGGGACTGGAGTGCGGACGAGGAGAAGCTCCCCGAATCGCCACAACCATATTTCCTGCGTGCCAACACGGGTCCCAAATGGATGCTGGGAGGTGTCATGTCCCGACCGTTTATCACCACCCGTCAGAGTCAGGGTGTCTGCGCCATTTCCAGCATTGAATCCTCCAAAACATACGGCGAAACTCTACTCTCTAAATTCTTGACCTTTCAATCGGTGGATCATTGCTTATGTGTTCAGGAAGGGACGTTGACCGTGCAGCTGAAGGATGGCCCCGAGTCGACTTTCCGCGAAGGGGAAACGGTTGTGATTCCGGCTGGTCAGGCATTTGCCCTGAGATTTGCCAGTCGGTATGTGCGGGTCTGGTCATTTACCGATGGCGATGGAATTGAGACTTTGATCCATCGGTTAGGCACACAGTTCGAAGGCGCTGTCTTACCTGATCAAGTGCCGAACTGGAACCCGGCGGAGGTCGGGTCTGTGGCGTCAGAGTTGAATGTGACCATTGAACTGTAAGCGGGGGAGGAGGGGAGAAGAGGATGCATGCATGAACTTAGCGTGGCTTGAGCCCTTGTGACGACTATTTCTATTGGAACTGGAACTATTAGCGATACCTGTCTTGCTACCTTCTTTTGTATTAGTTAGCTTGCTTAGACAGTGGAAGGAATCGAATCCTTTTCGAATTAATGGATTTTCCTCTGCACCCCGCGGGGACCCCGCAGAGATTCCCACGTGACGTTCACGGTCGGAAATCCCGGCCGATTCTCAACTTCCAACTTCGTCCTGGCGATTAACTTCGGCCTCTAACTACGATCTACTACGTTCTCTTATCTTCAATTTGCCCTCCACTCTTGTCCTCATAGTTCGCTCTGGATACACATCCCAGTCTTCCCTATGTCGTCGTCGTTCGTCTAGATGGATGATGGATGAGTCGCCCCCCATTCACACCGCGGGTGATGATTCTCTTCCCCCGCCGCGGGCCAAACGCCCTCGCGCTGCACAGGCATGCGACCGCTGCAGGGCCAAGAAGTACAAGTGCGACGAGCAGTATCCCTGCTCGCACTGTAAGAGTATGCCGTCTATCGCGATAAGCTGTCCCCTTCTTAACTAACCTCGTTCTAGAAAGCCAACTCAATTGCGTCTATCAGGGGAATTACCGCCAACGCGAAAGCAGCCGGTCTGCACGGTATGTATATTATCATTCATCAAAATCGTAGCTAGCTAGTTAGTATCTTGGAATTTGCTGACACATCAGGCAGATATGTTGCTGATCTAGAGCGCAAAGTAGACGAGCTGACGGCTCGACTAAGGTCGGCAGAGGCGGACACTACATCTCAGCATTCCTCACGGTCCCAGAAGGTAGTAGTACAACCAAGCTCGGGGGTCAAGCAAGCTCCTCCCCCTCCTCCTCCCGTAGGCGTTGAGGCGACCCCATTGTCGCTGCCTCGCGCTGCATCCACGCCGAGGGAAGAAGCGCCTTTCATTTACGAACACCAAGAGGAGGCTGGGGAGTCGGTAGGGGATGAAATCAGCGAACTGAACCATCACACCAACGGTATCGAGTTTCACGGCAGCACTTCATCTGCAGCTCTCCTAGGACATCTCCAGAAGGCCCGGGAACCGCAACGGTCCTTGGAGCGACGGGACGCACGTCTTGAGGATCCGGGGTATTCAATTGTCTCCACGCTGCATAATTCGAGCTTTTCACCCTCGGGTACAGGCTCCGCCCAGCCCTTGACATTACGGGAACAGAATTATTACTTTGAGCAGGCTCATGCTTTTATCAACGGCTATTTTGAAAATATCCATTTCATCCACCCTCTCATTGATAAGGAGGACTTTTTGTTACGCGCGCACAGTCTCTGGTTCAACCGTGGCGTTCAGCCGGAGCCCAGTTTTGTCGCTTTGTATCTGAGTATCCTGTCGTTTGGGGCCCTGGTCCGGGTTTGGGATGAGGACAGGCTGGGTGGACTGACTCGGTTCGAATGGAGTAGAAAGTTGTTTGGAGAAGCCCAGATGTACCTCAACTACCTGCAATTCTCCAATACCTTGATTACGGTGCAGTGTTTATACCTAATGGTATCAAATTCTCTCTTCCTGGGCGAAATACGGGCTAACTTTGTCTAGGCTAAGATTTGTCAGAACGAACTGAACCCAAACCGTAAGTAAATCACATCGCTACTTGCTTTTCGACTGATAATCCAACATGTTTAGTGGCATACATGTATCTGGGACTGGCTATCCGCACATGTCTAGCTGCTGGATTCAATCGTGAAGTGCGCAGTTCGACAGAGCAACGCTCGGAGTGGATTTCAAAGACGTGGTGGTGAGTTCGTGCCCTTCTTGGATAGAGCTTTCGCTAACTCTAGCAGGGGACTGTTCTCTTTGGAAATGTAAGTCTTGCTGGAAACGGGGTCCAGTCATGATCCTAACCATACCAGTGAAATGAGCTTTTCAGTAGGCCGTCCGGATACTCTAGGCATGGATGAGTACCACAACCGAGCGCTACCTGAACGGGACGACTCCGAGTACGCTGTCATCCCATGGATGGTGGATTTTGCATACATTATCCGCAAGGTTTCTGTGCAGATATATCATTCGCGCATTACGTTACAAGAGAAGCTGCATCTCGCACTCCAAATCGAAAACGAGCTCGACCGGTGGATGGCGAGACTGCCGGACAGGATCAAACCCGACATTGTTCAGCGCGCAACAGGAGGGGCATTGAGGGATCCCAAATGGGCACGGAGACAACGCTTAGTGCTCGGTATTCGTAAGGGCCCTCCCTGTACCTCATATTCGGTTTCACGCATAGCCACTAATCTTTTCCCGATCAGGCTACTACAATGTGAAAATGCTCCTCTTCCGACCATTCCTCAGTTACTTCACACGCAAATTACGACATACGCCTATGGAACTGGAAGAAACGATTGCCAAATGTCTCGACGCAGCAATGAAAACCATCCAAGTCATTTACGATATCTACCGAATCCACACATTCTTCCGCTGCTGGTATGCTTGTCCTGCCCTTATCTACACCCTCCTTTTCTTACCCCGGTTAACCTAAAATCAGGTGGTACAACACCACATATGTCATGTTCGCTACATCCACCCTCCTCCTCCCCATGTCCAAACTAGGCATGTGCGCCGAAACCATCCCGCTTCGCCGCTCCGTCGAAATGGCCGTCGAGATCCTCGAAGCAATGGATGAATCCGTGGTGGCGCGTAAATCTGTTGAGATTATTAAACACTATCTGCGAGAATTCCGGCCCATCGACGTCCAAACCGCTACCACACCATCTAGTAGCAATGACGGGACCAAAATTGCCGACTTCACTGCTGACCCAGAAGCTGCTGCTGCTGCTGCATCTGCTTCGGGTACTTCTCAGACAGGGTTTGATATTCCGGTATGTTCAACCTTTCGTCTCATTTCCTGTACAAGAAGGTAAGAGAAGTTGCTGATATTTGGAGCATAGGAATGGGCATATGGCTTCGGGTTCCCGGATTGTTCCTTTGAAGGGATCGCTAGGCTGTTTGATGATTTGGGAGGTTTGCCGATGTTGGATGGGTGATTATGTATTACTAAAATATTTTACCATTTCGTTTATGCGATTCAATTGGTGGGTATTGGGGATCTTGGAGGGTTGTATAGTGGATCTGACTTGTATATAGCTACTTGGTGGAACTCATAGATGATTTCATACTCTACTCAGTATTCCCCTGGCTATATCAGATATTAAGACCGGTGATAAACCAATTGTACTAGCCGGCTAAGAGCGTTCAGTCCATGTGAGAAGACCAAAGACGGATATTGAGCTTTCTTCATTACTCTGCTCTACCCAACCAATAGAATCAACACATTATTAAGAAACCCACTCGATACTGTACTTATACCCAACTAGAATACCATTCTATAAATGCGAAGTAATCCCTCTCTTACTACTACTGCCATTAAACAAACCCGGATTCTGCTCCACCACATTCTCCACCTCCTTGATAGCATCATATCCATATAACCATGGCTGGACTTCAGGACACGTCCTACACCTCACCACATTAGCCTCTCATAACTCTCCAAAGCCCCCCTATCCTCGAATAAAAGCAGCAGGAAAAGTAAATATACGTACCACCGACTCGGAAAAGCCCCCTTTAGCTCCTTCCCCAACTGAGAAAGGAATATGTGATCTCGTTTCTCTTGTTCGGGGCCGTCGTGCATGTGGAAATCGTTTCTCTTTTTGATTTGATTCCCTGGTTAGTATATCATCTGGAAAGGTGGAAGGTATCAAGATATGGGTGACTAACCTGCTTGAACGTCTCCCTTACGATAGCCTCACCTCGGGACTTGCGTAGCTTCTCGTATATACGGAGGATAGCGGGGAGGTCAGATTTGTGTTTCATGTGGCCGAGGAGGCCTCCGAGGACGGCGCCGTCTTCGAGGGACGAGTTGGCCCCTTGCGCGAGGTAGGGGAGCATTGGGTGGCAAGCGTCGCCGCTGGAGGTTTGGTTAGTTGGTGGGTCGGTTTGGGGTGAAGGGGGATGTAAATATACATGAAGACGAGGTTGGATTTGTCGTTGATCCAGGATTCCATTTCGGCGTCTGAGTCGAGCTTATTAGTTGATGGAAGGAGGATTGGGTTGCGGGTAGTAGTGGTGGTGGTGCATGCACTTACGATGCATGAGTTTCCATTTGTCAACGCCGTTCACGTAGCCCAGAAAGCGGGTTAAGCTGTACTATGTCAGTTTCTTCGGGCTTTCGATGTGTGCAATATGCAAGAGAAATCAAGCGTACACTGGATCCCAACCCACGAATAAACGCATCATTTCCTCCAGCGAGCCAGTCTGTCGTGATACACCTGGGGGTAGATCATCCGGCACCAAGAGTACAATATTCATCATCTTTCCCCCGCGCAGGGAATATCCTACTGCATGTGCGCCAGGTCCAATCCAGAAATGTACCGTCGGATTCTCAACCCAAGCCTTCAGGTCCGGGTCTGAGATCTGGTCCGCTGTCAGGACAATCCGATACGCCAGGTCTCCCGTGGGAATGGGGTCGTCTTTTCTCCCACAGTAGCATTCTCGACAGCGAGACCAGAGTCCGTCTGCGGCGACTATTAGGTCCCCGGAAACAGTCCTGCCCTTGAGGGTGGTGACTGTAGTCGTGTCGAAATCAATTGTGTTGACTCTCTCGTCGAGGTGGAAGGTCACGCCGAGCTCCTTGGCTCGCGCGTATAATGCTTGTTGCAGGTCTACGCGGTGCAAGTCGATAAACGGTGCGGAGTACTTGGAGCGGATATTCCGATCAAAGGATTCTTCATGGGCAAGGACTTCGCCTGTGTAGCGGTGCACTGTTAGGGAAGTGGGCTCTGCAGCGTCGGTCCATAGCTTCTCAGGAAGTTTCCAGTGTGAGAACAGGCGGGAAGCATTAGAAGTGATCTGGAGACCGGCGCCGACTTCTGCCAACTCCTTCGCTTGCTCGAGAACTGTAACAGTGTGGCCGGACATGGCGCAGGAAATGGCGGTGGCGAGGCCACTGAGGCCTGCACCAACGACAATGATGTCAAGGTGTGAGTCGTGATGGCTCTGCCTGCTGGTTTAGTAATTATCTTCATCACCTCCCCCCTCCCAAAGTTATTAAGGTACGGCTCAGGGATAGAACACACCATTGTGGATCCTTCACTTCTCCCGAGAACACTGTTAAAGATGCCCATGTTGGCAGAGGCCTCTGAGATAACAATGGCAGAGCGGAACGGCAAGTAAGGGGAACAACCGCGATGTTTTTAGCTCTTTAAATCCACGTCGACACGCTTTGCCGCCGGAGCTTTACTTATCCGCAATCACAAGTCGTCAATTGGTTCAGATAGGAGAGAGTCGACGAGCTCAAACTGGGGCTGATTTGTAGGATTTGCCCCGGAGTCCCCGGCTTTCCCGAGGGTCGGGATATCCGGAGGGTGATGCAACGGTTCGAGTGGCTGGCGCTCATTCCCCATCATCATTCTGAGCAATTGCGGGGGATCCGGGGTCTAGTGCCTTGGCTGGCACGGCATTCGAAACGAAGATAGGAAAATAGCGAACGGAAATTCCGTGGAGGGCATGATACGAAGCTATTGCAGAATGAGAAAGCGAGAAGCCCCCACAAAGTCAAGAATGGCAGAGCAGGTGACTCCGTCACGTGGGGCCTTTGCTTTTCGCCCTGCTCGATTTGTTGTGCTTCTTCTTCCTCAACACTGTGTTCGGAATTGTCAACTATGGTTCACTCCATGGACCATCGACATAGCCAATTCAATGCTCGTGGTTGATGTCGTCTGCGAAGTGGATCGACTAAAGCAGGCAGAAACATCCGAAACCATATATATTTTTCCAGACAGCTGTAAAGCGGCCAAGGATTTTTTGGGGATAAGGTCACTAAATTAAATGCTGACAGAGTAAGTCTAACGATCAGATTCGCTGTTGGGAATCTCAATCAATGGGTATGTTTGAGTTACCAGACCTTCCGGAGGCTAGACTTATCTGACAACCAGAGTTTAGATGATCTCACAGACAGCTTCCCCAAAGTCGGGAACGCTCTAAGCACGGTCCATGCTTGACTTGATTCGCCAAAGTAAGCTCTCCCAGCACTGAATACTACTAAGCACGACCTTCCCCGCTTACCAGGCACCAGTATCCCACGTGTACAGATTTTGAAAGGCCCTGATAGGAGCACATCAAGACAAAGCTCTTTATTATTCCTCGAATACACAGAGCCCAAGGTGCTGGCATCGAGAAGAACCCACGCAGGGGGGAGACTCACAGTCTATACGGTCAACACGCAGAGACACGAGCACGCCGTACAGGTGCTTCGACCAATCCCCGAGACGCCGTTAATATAGCGGTCGCCGTACAGGATTTCCTATTGAACAGCATTGGCCTCTGGATGCGACACTATCCGGTAGCTTTACGCCACTAGTGTACTATATCCCACTCTTCCTATCACAATCCTTCTACAGCGCAGGATGACAAGTGGTCCCGACCATTCGGGGAACCCGAGGGCCACATCCCGGGATGGAGTGGCGTTCCAACTCCAGTCACTACCTTATTCAAGGAGATTCCGGACGTTTTAGCCCATGTGATGATGGCATGGATTGTGTGGGGTAAAACCTGGAGTAGGACTGGCAACTACCGAACTGCCGATATATGAACCGCTTCATGTCTAGATATATAGAACTTGGCATCGTATGATCTTTCTTCTGTCCCTCGCGACAGTTGGACCCTGAGTGGCCCGAAAATTCCCCAATACTGCTACTAGTACTAGTATTTCGATCATAGTACAAGATGGCATCCCAAATAGATCCTAGGGTGTGTCACACCCCTTTTCACACTCTCTCCCTTCTTATTTCATCGAATCGGAAAATAGAGTAGAAACAAGCGCTGACCATCTGCCCTATGTCTTCCTATCTGGGATTTACAGCTCTATCCCCGCAGAGTCCGATATGCAGCTCTACTTACTGTCAATGTCTTCGTCTTCATGGGCAATATGTACTCGGTATCATACCCACTATCTACTCCGGTTGTTGTCCCAGCACACACTCACACGCATGTTCCACAATAGTCAGGGATAGCGACCGGCTTCGACAACCTTGCGGCCGATCTCCATGTCGGATACCAGAAACTCGCTGACTTAGTCTCTTGGTCCGTCTTGTCTATGGGTCTAGCAAACCTGGTCTGGATGCCGCTGGCACTATGCTTCGGAAAGCGCCCGGTTGTACTCGTGTCCATGGCTATGTTTGTCGCTGGGATAATCTGGACAGTCGTCGCGAAGGACTACAATAGCTTGATGGGGGCTAGGGTTTTTGCTAGTTTTGGTATACTACCCACCATCCCTGAGTTCTTTCTTCATCCAATTGGATGGGTCTATGCTAACATCTGCAGGCTATGGATCGATCGAGTCACTGGGCCCTAGTATTCTTGCTGGTTCGTATTCCGTCGTCTAAGATACATATGATGCGAAACGACCAGGCCCACTAACAAGCCTAGACATGTTCTACGAACGCAACTACTCCAGTGCAATGGCAATTTACGCTCTCTTCCTCTCGGCCGGCTCCCAAGTCGGTCCCCTCATCGCTGGTTACCTGGTGGCTGCCCGTGGCTGGCGCTGGTTCTTCATCCTGTGTCTCATTGTTGCTGCAGTCAATCTCGTGACAACCTTCTTCTTTCTCCCAGAGACGCTATACGAGCGTGGACCCGAGGAGCAATTGGATGTTGACGATAAAGAGAAGGCCGAGGCCTATCAAAGCCACATCGAATCCGTACCCGAAGTCAACGCCTGGCGGCGCCAGCAGCAACAAGAACAATTTTCCTACGGAGGGTATTGGAAGAGCTTGTTCAAAGTCGGTCTATCAGATGCAGCAAAGGAGAATGGTGTCTTCAAGCATCTGGCTCGGCTGTTCTGGCTGCCACTGCCCATGCTTCTAGTCCCGGGAGTCTTAATAGCTGCGATGATGTATGGTGTTGTGTTAGGAGGGTAGGTTCCCCTTCCCTGCTCAATTATCTCATGGAACAAGCACTCTGACCCTTCTATGCCTACAGAGTGGTCTCT